ACCCTGTGCCAATGTGTGTAGGAATGCATACTATGCTAATTGTCATTGATACAGACAGAGAGCACAATTGAGAAAATTTCAAATGCCTATAACTATGGAAAGATGCAAAATGGGTCACATAAAGCACTGTAATCCATGAGAAGGAGCATCAGCAACTTTTAATTCAAGAACAGGACACAGGACACATATAATGCATGTATGCTGACTAGGCCCACAAAGCATTGCCCAGTGTGAGATTGCCAATTGGGAGGGCACCTGCCATATGTAGTAGTAATCATGATTGTGTGATAGCTTCTTCACAGACCTCCTCATAATTTCCATAGCCTTCATATGGAACAAAGCATGAACATGTGCAGGATATTCATTTTGAGGCCACTTAACCTCCTTGTGTAGGCTCAGAAAGAAATCCCAAACTCCAGAAAATCAATGAAGTAATGAATGACATATGTGGTCATTTTGCTCACCCAAAGCTCTGGACTACAGCTGATCCTTCTGAAGAAGTGAAAGACTTATGCAGACTGCCTGCTATTGTGCAAGAAAAAAAAAAGTGATGTTGATGATATAATTCTTATTTATAGGTTCTTGCTCTCCATTGAATATTTGTAACAATGTCTGGGTCAGATTGTGGCTAGTAACTTGTTACATATGTCTGTAGTGACAGAGACATGCTATGGAATGGTGTTGGGACAAGTGATGAGGAGGAATACAGATGAGAATTCCAGTATACTGTATCTTGACCATGTGACTGACTGTTTTTCCACAGCATGAGCTAAAATTCAGGAACAAGGATCATGAATGTACCAAACTTAACCTGAACAGACTTTGACATTGGGAAGGTCTAGGCCAGTATAGTAACAATTTGTAGGGAAGTATATGACTCCCTACCCAGCTCAAATGGTACAATGAACTCTAATAATTATCATTACAGACTTAAACCCCCCAATGGGTCAGTACCCCCCGATGGGTCACCTTCCTAAAACGGTCGGGAACCTTCCGTATATGGCAAGTCATGATCGCCCAGTGTCCATGCGAAGCCATGGCCATAGGACGGTTGGACTTCAGTCGAGTCCTCGCGCCGCTGACACATACACCTATACAGAACTATACAGAATACCAATGCAGAGTACAGTACAATATATACATAATAATGATACACACATGTCAGTCCGATTCACTGGTTGCCGAGTCACTGTCAGATGGTAAGCCCTGCAAGGTGTCCCAAATAATACCATCTTGTTCGTCTTTCCCTGACGTGTCTGCAACTGCATTTTGCATCTCCGTCAGAGCATAAGGTTTGAGCTTCTGCGCCTTCTCAACTGCTCACGTGAGATGCTCGGGGGTTAGATCTCTGGGGACAGCACGTGGTGCACGCGGTCGCTTCGTTCTGTCGGCATCGCAGTCCCTGCATGCCTCCTCATATTCCTTCTTCTTCCTTGTGTTCATTGCCTTTCGCGCCTCCTTCTTCTCACGCCTCCATTTTGCTCGTCGACTTCGTGCCACACGAGAGGCTGAGCCCTTCAGTTTCTCCAGCGCAGCCTTCTCCGACTGTGCCAGATCAGCTGCTTGGGCTGCACGAAAGCCCTCCTCAGTATACACCCGGCCCGTGCGCCCTCGCGCCTGCTCCTTCTTCAGGTATGTTGCAACATGAGAGTTATCCTTTTTCTTCTTCTTCTGATTGAGTCGCGCCTGTGTGCCTATTTGGTGCTCGTTCTGCAGGATCAGCTGTGCGCGTTGGCCAACTATCACATGCGACTGCTCCGTAACAGTCGCCTGCGACACCGTCGAGATTGCCCGCAATGCTGCAACTTCGCCCTCAAGTTCATCCCGCGACATGCAGTCTGGAGGGGCTGGCAAAGATAGGATATAGAAGTCTGGTGGAGGAAGAGGAGGACCACTGTCAAGAAGGGGAGGGATTACGGGTGTTTCGACCGTGACAGTACTTCGAAGTGGTATGTTCTTGGCCCTGTCATTGAGGTGATGTGCAATTGCAGCATCACGTTTGCGTGGTGTGAACTCATCTGGGTGAACACGAAGGGAGGATGGAGTGATAATGGTCGTAGCTGCTGTACGCTCGGCGTCCCGAGGCGGTGTATGGGGAGGTGTCGATGGTGGGTTTCGAAATCTGTTGATGAGGCCGAGGATGTTAACTGCCTCGCCAACAGGGGTAGGCTGGCGCTGCAGAAACGAGCTGGTGATGGACGTGTTTTCCGCTGGGATGACAGCATGTGCCAGTGGTGGGATGGCATTTGGGTTGACAGTGGCATAGGGTGTAGCCGTATCCGTACTGTCCACAGCAGCATATGCTAGACCAGTCACCGCGAAAGCCTGTCTGTGTTGAACTTCCGACTTTCCAGTGTTATCTTATCTTATCAGTTACGTACATATATGGACTTGTGTTCTGCGATGTAGTATTACATACATTCTTTTGATGGACTCTGTCTGGACTCATCTTGTGACTCGCTCCAGACCGATCTACACTGTTCCAGACTTATTCTGGATCATTCCACTCCCTTCCGGCATGTTCCATGACTCTCAGTACATTCCTTGATCACATGGACGCTTATGCATATCCCTATCTCTGGAGTTAAGGCTTACTCATTTCCCTAAAACTCGGACTTAGTGATTACTGATCTGCTTACTGATGTAGCATGTGATCAGTCCCAGACATGTATATATACTGGGGTGATTCCCCCCTAATGGATAACGATCTCTCCTCTCTTCTGCCTGCCTAGCATCAGAGTCTTCCCTCTGGGATAGGTCTGTTCACTACACTCTACTGTCCTTCACTTCCACTGGCCTAACAAGCCCTTCTAAACCTCTTTCACTTCAACAGGTTATGAGCCCCGTGCTCTGATCGTTTATATCACCTGTACCTTTTGCGCAACCAAAGCCCAACTCTTGAAAGAGTGAGTTGGCATATTTTGTCCTTATTTGGACTACTGTTTAGCCGCTCTGTGACAAGTGCCCAAAGCCTTGTCCAAGCGCATTTCCAGGGTAGCTCGCAAGAGCAATTACGAAGTTTTTCCACCGTCTCGTTGTGAGAGATACGACGTAGGCGATGCTGACACTAGCGCTGTTGCTGAGCGTCATCAGTGTTTATACGGTCATCTACCCATCGATCACTAGATTGATATCATCCTCACTCCTACCCCGCGCCCTCGCCGTCCCACCTATCGTCACCCTGACACCTCTCGTCCCCCGAAGGCGTCCTGTCGCAAGACCCTTGAGCAGCAGCTTGAGGAGCTCCAGTTGAAGGCAGACGACTCTAGGGCACTCCTTGAAGCTCGACGTGCGGAGTACGCTGCTACACTTGCCGCTGAAACTGCCGCCCTGCCAAGGCTTCCCTTATCACACGCATCGAAGGCGTACCTCTTCCCCTTCCTATCACAGCCCTTAAGCTGTTTGACGCCGACTTCAAGAAGAAGTCTCAGACGCAGAAGGCCGCCATCCTCACGAAGTGTCTCTTCGCCGTTCAGAAGCGCCTTCACCCTCTCTTCACCCACAAGCTGCGCGACACTGTTCGTTGGTCGCTCACCGACAACCTCAACGCTTTTGGATGTCGGTTCAATTGGGTCTGTTCTCACTTTGAGACAGAGGGTCATTTGTGGTCGCACGACGCGCTCAACGACGTCAAGCTTGTCTGCGAGCTGATTGGGAAGATCTCCTTCAAGGAGCTTAGCAAGAACCTTTCTAAGGTTACTAGGGAAGTTGGGGACTTGCACAAGGGCAATCACTTGGCTTGGGTAGACAAGTATTTGTAGTCGCGTCACAAATTTTATCTTTGTTCCTGGAATATTTTTCAGTGAAGCATCACAACTGTGGCAACGCCTCAAGAGGAGACATTTGCAGAGACTCAGGTCTCTTCAGGCGAAGAATCAGACGACTCATACGATTGTTCAAACCACTACCATCTATACGACTACGAGGAGGTTTGCAACGCTCATTATAGAGACGACGATCAAACCTGGTGGAACTGTGACAACACTCATTGTCCAAACTGTTACCACACACCATTTGGTGATTTTCCTTGAGGCTTCAAAGCTGGTATCGCTGTCGAAGCTTGGCAAGACAATTTCCTATTCGCCAACGAATTTTCGGAGTCACCTCCAAAACCTGAACATTTAATCTCGCTCCCTGAGTCGAGATCTCAAACACCTGAACCGGAGGAATTACCCTTCGAGTTATTTACACCAGAACCTCCTTCTTCGCCCGACACACAAGGCGAATTTATCCTCTTATCCGCAACCATGGGTGACGTCAAGCCAGACAATATCCCTAAGCTCTCTTCAGCGTCCCAATATGCTGACTGGTCTGCCGCTATGCGCGGTTATTTAATATTCATAGAGGCCTGGCCCGCTGTTATTGCAACAGTAACTACCGACACAGAGTACAAGAAACAGAATGCCCGTGCTCAGGGTGTTCTATTTATGCGGACTGATCGCTCGATGCATCATTTGCTCAAGGGATCTAGTGGTGAACTCAAGACCGCTAAGGAAATGTGGGCGGCCCTTAAGACAGCCTTTGGTACACCCGACATGGCATTCGTCTGGAGTCTCTTCCAGTTGGTGATCAAGTCTCCGGAGATGTCTGATTCCAAACCTCTGCAGGATCAGATCAACAAGCTGGTTACTCGGCTTAAGGAGATTCCGGCCGGTGGCATAACTCTCGGTGAATCGACCCAGGCTCTTCTCCTTCTGTCGAAGGTGCCTGAATCCTATCAATCAATGATTTCTGCGCTCATGGCGACGCAGAACATCAAGGATCTTAAAGTTGACTCTGTTCAGTCGAAGATTCTTGCCGAAGAATCTCTCCGCCGGTCTGGTATGGGACAGTCTGCGTCCAAGACATCCCAGGTCAAGCACAAGTCATCGGGTCCCTGTGGTCACTGCGGTGGAAATCACGGCAGTGAGAATTGTTGGACAAAGTACCCGCATTTGCACCCCCAAAATAAGGGTGGCGGCAAGGGGAAAAAGTACAACAAGGGCAAAGGCAAAGGGAAGAATAAGGGCAAGGGCAATGGTAACGGACAATCTGGTTCTGGTTCCTCCAACACTGCTACTACTTCGGACTCCACAAATGTTGTAACTGTAGAATCCTCCGTGTCGTCTTCAGCTAATACTATGACTGCTTCCTGGTATACTGCGGGTCACTCCGCTTCTGGAAGAATGACTGACTGGATTATGGATTCTGGTGCGTCGAAGACAATCACCAACGACATGGCTGATTTTTGGGACTATACTCCTTACGAGGAACCCATGATTTTTGGTACAGCCGGCAAGTCTAAGATTGCAGCTTATGGAGAAGGGACCATCAAAGGTGTTGTGCACGTTGAAGGGAAACATGTTAAAGCAACTATTACGAATGTTGCTTACATCCCTGCCGCATCTGGTCGCCTATTTTCTACTGGTGTTATTGAGTAATCAGGTTTTACCCTAGTTCAGGGAGGAGGTCGTATGGTCATCTATGACCAACCTATTTTGCAAGGTCGAGTCTGTGGTAACATGATCATGGAGGCACACCATAAGCCCTTCAATAATCTCTATATGTTGTACCTAGAGATTTTGACACCGCAATTGGCAAAGTCTACAGACAAGTTGAATTTTCATCTCTGGCATGAACGCTTCGGACATTCGTCTGAAGATGTTATTCGTCAGATTCCCAAGCACACTAAGGGTGTGGATTCCATCGGTGCCAAGGATACTTCTTCTCCTTGTGCAGGGTGTCAGTGGGGCAAGTCTCATTGCGCTCCATTTCCCCCATCGGCTAAACGTGCTACAAAGCCCCTTGAGCTCATTCATACTGATGAGGACGGTCCTATGTGTACCACTGCAATAGGTGGATGGTGTTATTTCATCAGCTTTCTTGACGACTATACTGGTCTTGGTCGTGCCTATTATCTCAAGCACAAGAATGATTCAATCCAAGTGTTCGATGACTTCAAAGCATGGGCTGAGAACCAAACAGATAAGAAAATCAAGGCTGTACGCTCGGATCGTGGGGGGGAATATACATCTCCTGCTTTTACCGAACATTTGCGCAAATTTGGTATTGAACATCAGTTCACAATGCCGTACTCTCCTCAACAGAATGGGAGAGCTGAGCGCTGGAATCGGACCATTGTCGAGAAGGCTATGTCTATGCTGCATCATGCTGGACTAAGCCATGGTTTTTGGCAATTGGCTGTGGACACTGCGGTTCATATTTATAATCAGCAACCTATGCGACGCCTTAACTGGCAATGCCCCATTACTCTCTGGAATGGCACAATTCCGGACATTTCATACTTTAGGATTTTTGGGTGCAAGGCATTTGTGCATGTGCAGAAAGAACAGAGATCTGGGAAGCTCGACAAGAAGGCTGTTGAGATGATCTTTGTAGGCTATGAAGTTGGTTCCAAAGGGTATCGTTTCTGGAACCCGGCTACTCGAAGTATTGTTGTGTCTCATGATGTGACCTTCGATGAAGAGACATTTCCTGCACGAAAGGACTTAGGTGTTAGGGCTCGTGGGCTCGGAACCCTAGATTCAGGGGCCGGGCTGCCTCGTGAACCTAATGGTTGGTGGTCGCGACGCGACCAGGGGGGAAAGGAGGATCTCGGGGTCGTGAGCAAGGTGAGGAGTACCTGCTAGGGTCGTTAGCAGGGTGACGAGCCTTGCTATTCGGGAGCGCGGAGAGGTCCTTGGTTGCCAGCGACGAGCTGGGCCAAGCAGGGAGTCCTAGACGGGCTGTTGGGCCAGGTCGAGGAGGGGTCCAAGGCGAAGGCGACGAGCCTAAGCCGAGGGGAGTTCCTAGGCGGGGCGACGAGCCTAGCCGAGGACAGGGGAACTAACTCGGACGGCGCGAAGAGTTCGCACTCGGACGAGGTGGTAGTTCAGGTAGAAGAGTAGATTACTTCCCAAAATGGAAGTCAGATCGCTAGGTACATTGAGATAAGATGAGATGTACACTATCAGTTCATAATCTAATCTAGAGGACAGATAATGGGTTATCTATCCGTAACAGAGCCCCCCATTATGAAGTGTATAGTGTGGGTATGAATGATGAGGTGAGGGCTCAGAAGAAGTAGATCTGGGCATAGAGTGGGAAGGAAACAGAGCATAGAAAGGGAAGGAAAATTTTTGGGCAGTAAAACTGCATGTAGAAGGCTCCGCCATGCAGAGGCTGAGCTGTGCTGCATGTATCACATCCCGAGCGGTCATCCTTGCAGGCATCCTGGTTGCACTGTAGTCGCCATGCAGAGGATGCGCTGTCCTGCGCATACTACGTCCCGAGCTACCATCCTTGCAGAAGGCATGAATATGCCAAGGGCTAGGCTAGGCTAGGCTCGGTGGACCTCCCTATCCTCCCCTACCCCTGCCCCCCAATCTCAAGTCGGAGTGATCCAGTCGGGAGGTTTGGCTCGAGATTCCATAGCAAGGAGGTGGTAACAGGTAAGAATGGAATAGCAGTAAGGGTGGGTGGGCTGGGCATTGTCTGCCTCTGCAGTCTTATTCCTCGTCTGACCACGATGTACATGGAACCATTGTCCCATTGCGTAGGCACTCCTCTTCGTAGGCCTCTGACACTCGTATTGCTTCCTCTATCTGCCACCGTGCATGTGCCAGTGCTGTTAGTGCTGCTGGGGATTTGTCGTAGACAACACATTCCCGGGCTTCCCTATGTGCACGATATAGTCAGAAGAAATTGGGTGGCTTGTAGCGTGCAGAGGCAGAACTCAATGGGGGCAGACTACAAGGAGCGTGGACATTCCACACGTCCTCATTGTCCAAAGCTGAGAGTGGAGGTGACGAGAGTGGAGGTGTTGGCAAAGGGCATGGAGACATAGTCGACAGAGCATGTGGCGGAGGCGAGGATACGTTGGGCAAGGTCCTAGATGAAGCCAAAGACGAGGCTGACTTGATATTAACCAGGGCTAGGGTTCGAGGTGGCTTGACTTCCGGCTTCAAGTCGGAGGCTGCAGAGCAGTTGCCAGGCGCGCGGAGAGTCCACATGGCCTGGAACTCGTCTTGCAGACTACCTTCGACGAGGGTCGGTGTAGACAAGCCGAGCGAGGATGGAGAGACACAGCGAGAAGGAGCATCCTTGCTCATTGGCGAGCTCGACAGGACACGATGATCATGACTGAGGGACGCCGCGTCGACACCGAGAGCAGGCGCGTGCACGGAACACGGGAGTGGAGAGCAGGGTCGAAGGAGTCGACTGCTGCACTCGAAGACCCAGGGCGGAGGTGAAGCCAGATTGGACGATGATGGACAGTGGATACTGGACGTGCGGACGTTCCGCACAGTCCAGCCCTTGTCCGAAGGGTTGTCCGCGATGTTGGTTCCGAGAGTCATGGACACGCCGAGACGCGAAGGCGGCGACGGAGGCGCAGACGAGTAGGCATGCATGCCGAGCAAAGGCGGGTGTGTCGAGCGACTACTGGGCGTGCGGCAGTCTCGCATAGTGAATTGCACGGGTGCACCCGTGGATACCTCCGAGCATACCCGTACCCCTACCCGCGCGGGTCATGTACCCTTGCAGCGGGTACAGGTACCGCGCGGGTCATGCGGGTTTAGCACGGGTACGGGTATCTGTGCGGGTTCGCACCACTTCGTGTCAGTAGCCGCTCAGGCTACACAAGCATAGTACTGACATGCATATATTCGAGTCATTTACAGAGAGAATGTACAGCTAGGCTGAAGTCTTGTAGTTCTCACCCCACACCTCTACAGGGTCCTCTTCTTCATCTTGCGAGGGGTCCTCGACAGTGACAGCGAACACGTCGTCATCTTTGACGAAGCCGTGCACACTCCACTCATTGAGGCATATCAGTGCGCGGATGGACGCCGCCGAGAGCCCGTTGCGCAAGTGAGACAGGATGATACGACCTTTGCTGAACAGCCGCTCGACAGCAACCGAGGTAGCTGCAGCCAGACATCACGTCTAGTTAGTCATTTGCATTCGACAAGTGTGGAGCAACTTACGTGGGATGGTCAGATAGGAAACGGCCATGCGCGATAGATTTGGATATCTTTTGCGTGAGTCATCACTCGTCCACCACTTCACTGCGTTCTTGATTGGGATGTCAGGTGTCTCGGGTCCAGTACTGAGGTAATGTTCCAGCTCGTCAGTGATGCGCACGGTTGGTTTCATCCGATTGGCACGGGCCACATCGAACATGTTTTCCTTCTTCGTGGACTGGGATTTCTGTGGGATTATATGGCACACGTAAGAGGTCAGAGACGATTCGAACTCGACGCAGTAGTCCAGACGTACCTTGGCCTGTTCGGCCTCATCCCTCTGTACACGTGCCGGGAAACAGCCAGACCATTCCTCATTGTATGTCTGCCGAACAAGTCTTCGGGCCTGCGCAATCCACTCGTCGGTCCAGTCATGGTCGTGGAAGTACTGAAGCTTGTACCGTGGGTCGAGAACTAAGATAGACTATCAGTAACCCAGCGCGCAGTAAAAAGGTTTGATATATACTCATCGCAATTCTATACGCAGCGGACTCATCGCTCTTGCTGTAGTAGCGGTTGATGGTCTGCTTGGCCATGCCCACGGCGACGCGGACGGCTGGGTCGAGGTCGCGGTTGATACTGTCAGTTGCGAGGCGTTGGTCAATGATGTCCATCGACGGAATGACGTCTGTCAAGGCTGGCGCCTCATCCCCTTCGCGCGAAAAGAATTGCGTCGCCTGGTAGAAGACCTGTAGCACGTGTTGGAGACGTGCGCCGCGGCGTGGGGACGAAGAGTTGCACGAGTGGGTGTTGCAGCAGAGTAGGTGATCGTGTCGAGAAACGAGGACAGCGGGAATGCGGGAGCACGAGTGCATGCATACAAGTACAAGTGTCGGGTGGATGGGACAAGGTGCAGGTGCGCGTTGGGTGCGTCAGCCGTACGTGTTAAGCAGGCACAAGGTGTGACACGGAACGAGGTGAGAGAGATGTGGCGAAAGGGCAGAAGGGATGAGGAAGCCGGGGAAGATCCCAGTGACGGTGTAGGATGCAGTGGCGAGGCACGCGCGCCGATGTGGGTGTGTACGACGAGCGAGCGAGAGGAAATGGTCGGCGAGCAACTCACACGTGTGTTGAGTACGCGTGAGCAGTTGACACGGCGTAAAAGTGACGACATGGCGTACACAGACAGTGGAGCCGCGAGGAATGCAGTTGCGCACGACGAGCCAGGCGTATGACACGATGTCGTGCACGTTAGGCCGTGCGGGCGTTGTCCGTCGAGTGATGCCGAGAGCAGTCTGGGTCGGTATGGAGGCAGGGGCAATGAGCAGTGAGAGACGTTTGAGGTGTGGGAGTGAGCGGCCATGGCCGGGTTGATCGAGCAAGAATGGTAAGTGAACGGTGGACCCACAAAGTGACTGAGTGACTGACCTGCAGGACGTCACGCAGTTGCGTGGCAATCTTCCACTCTTTGGCCTCTAACTCCCACCGCCGCAGGCCATTTCCTTGCACAGCCGTCATCCTCTTGATCGCTTCCCGGTACTCCAGTGCGGCGTCGAGCATTCGGAACGTCGAGTTCCACCGAGTGCGGACATCGCGCGGCAACTTTCGGAACTCCATCTTGAGGTCCTCGATGGTTTTCCTCCAGGTCGGCAAGAGGTGCGTTGGGGAGCGATGGATGGAGACAGAGATCTTGCGTAGCTACACGACCCAACCACAGGTGAGCTTTTTTATCGTTCTGCAGATATGTCCGCTCACCTTAACTAGCATCATCTTGACCGGGCGGACTTTGCTGTCGAGCGCCGAGAGCTTCGCACCGTCAAGTCCTTCACGCGCATCCCAGAATCCATCGACGTCGTCTGCTTCTTCATCCTGCACGTCCTCCACCTCGTCGAAATCAAGATCTTCCATCAGGTCGCGGAGTTCCTTGTCCCAGTCGGAGAGCTCGGGATCATCATCCATCGTCTCGTCGTACTCCTCAGAACCATCGTTTGTCTTCTTTTTCTTTTTCTTTGGTGGCTCGAACTGACGCAGTAGGCTCTTTGCCACAAGGTTAATGATATGGCAGAAGCACCGACCGCGCGCCCGGCTCCCTGGGAACCCCAATATCAGCTTTTCCATCTCTTCGATCATCACATCGTTCGACGACGCGTTGTTGCATGTCACGCCGAGTATCTGGATAACCATGTGAGTACGAGTTTCCTGCAACAGATCTTTAGTACTTGCTGACCTTCGCATCGAGCTTCAGCTCTTCGAGCAACTTGGCAAACGTGGTCGCCAGGTTCAACCCACTGTGCGAAACGGGGACCTCGACGACATCAAGAACAAGACACATCGGCGAACCATGGTGTTCGAAGTGCACCGTGAACGCAACCATCGCTTTTTGATTCGGCGAAGTCCACGCGTCTGTCGCGAAGTTGAGGTCGCCATCATACTCCTGGTAAGTTGGCCGTGTTAGTAATCAGATGATGGGCATTGATGGCTGATGTTCATACCTTCAATATGTCCGCGACACGTTCACGTACTCGTGAGAAGACTTTGCGAACATCGCGCCCGACGGTTGTCGGCGAGGGAATTTTGTATTCCAGCCGGCCCGTCTTCATCAAAGACTGGAATCCGCGATCCTTGACGATATTGAACGGTTGCATGCTCTCAGAAACCCACCGAACGATTTCTGCCCTGTCAAAACTCGTGTCAGATGGGCCTGTAGATACTGTAAGTAATTCCTTACCTCGTCTGCGAAGGTGTATGCTGACGCGTGGAGAAGGTCACGGTCTTCTTTGTCGACACCCCAAAGGACAACTTGATGTCCTGTGTCCGCCTATACTTCTCCACGCAGTCCTTCGCCTTCGATGCCGACCCTGTACCATCCGCAGCCTTCAACGCCTCCTCTGACCAACAGAGCTTCACATGCTTTCGCATGTTACTAGTTGACCTCGCATCCTTTCCATCAAGATACCGCTTCACCGTCTGCTTGCACGCTGTATTCGCGCAGTGGAAGATGTGCACACGTCGGCCCATGATGTACTCTATCGAAGGATCGGGTTTGAAGAACGCGTATGCGGCTGACATCCATTTCTTTTGCATACGTGCTGGATGCCCATGGTAAGTACTCACATATTCAATCTCCTCGACGTTGCTCACCAAGCTCTTGTTCATCGGTCTCTTCGGCAAGGTCCTCACCACCCTTCTCCGACTCCGTGCTGCTGCTTTCGTCGCCAGAACTCAACAGATCTATCGTCACCGGTGCACTTCCCTTCCTCGACAATATGTCATCAATATCCTCGACATCCTCGATCTCAACAGAGCGCCGTGTAGAAGTAGTGCGGGCACTCGCTGTTGAGCCTTTCACTGTGATTCTCGGACGTGGTGCGCTCGCCGCCGAAGATGAAATGCTCGCCGCCGAAGCCCTTGCCTTTGCGGCCGAAGGATCGCGGCTGCTCGTGCTGGTGCTCGGCTGGGCATCAGTATGCCGTGCTTTCTTTGTGCCCTTTGCATTTCTCGTGGGCGACTTGGCGGCCTTGCGCTTTTCGGACGGTTTTTTGGCTCGGTGGCTGATTCGGCTGGTGGACATGTCAGGCAGCTTGCGAGTTGCTGTGGAAGTGGGAGGAGGACAACAACGAGGTAACCGGGGGAGCTGATGGCGAGTCGGGCTTACTTAGTACAGCAGCATGTATATATTTAAATAATGCATGTTTTGTTCTTGTGAGCCCTGACTTGGCTCGCTGTAAAGAGTAAGAGCCCCAGATCCAGATCTGACCTAGTGGTGAGTCCCCGAAGGCTGGCGGCACTGCTTTCCATAACGGGTAACCAGCGGGTACACGGGTACGGAAATGGCTACCCGGACCCCTACCCGCGTGTACCCCTACCCATGACCCGCGCGGGTTAGCTGTACCCCTGCAATGCACTAGTCTCGCACGGCCCGAATATCGTCTTGCCAGCCATCCGTGTGAGTGGTTCCGAAAGCCGGGGGAAGACTGAGGCGCAAAGGCGGTGGCGGAGACGCAGCCGAGGGCACATGCGTGCTGAACGAAGGCGGATGCGTAGGTCCATCGAGCGGCGCCGGGAGCATGGAGCATGAGGGTGGAGAGCAGGGTCGAAGGATTCGACCGCTGCATTCGGAAACCCAGGGCGGAGGAGCTGGTGTGTCAAGCGCAGGCGAATACGTGGGAGAACTGCGAAGGGACGCAGACGTGTCGAGCGAAGGCGCGAGCAGGGGACACGTACGCGTAGAGAAGGTAGACGGGGCTTCATGGACGGGAGCACTCACGAGAGTCGAGTGAACTCGTCCATCCTCTCTATCAGGCTCCCGGCCTAGAATGCTGGGCGGCCCCCCACTCCCATCCTTGCATCAGATTGTCCTCCCGCAAGACGGTGGGTCATCTTCGTGAACTTCCACGCGCGGCGATGTGGCCTTGACGAAAGCTTGCAGGACCTGTGAGGCACTGCTCGTCTGCGCAGCCGGTTTGACCTCAGTGTCGCACTCTATATGCACGCAGGGTTGAACAGGTCGACCGCTGCATTCGGAAGTCGAGGGTAGACCGAGGAATGAGATCGACGGAGGAGACATTGGCGAGTCGTGCGAGAGTACGGGTGAGGGTGTGCAACACGAGCGCTGCGGCGCGGGCGAAGACTCACTAGAGCCGAGTTGTACAGTGGGGATGCAGGGAAACCGCGGTGGTGCAGGTTCAATGGCGTGAGGAGGACGCGGAGACGGCGGGACGGGCGAGGGCAGAGGCACGGAGCGTTGACGAGGATGGATGGGTGGGGAGGGTTGACGGATAGGAAGACTTACCGCGGTCGTATCGACTCGCGTCTCCTGTCTATCAACCTCCTGGCTTGTCATACTGGCGCTGGGGCCGCTGTGACTTCGGTATCACACATTAGCAGCGCGTATGGTCGCTCGACTTCGCTCGTCGAACTGGCTACTGTACTAGGCGTGCGGCGTGTCCATGCAGCCCAATATTCGCTCAGCGAGACGTCCTTACACGGGACCTCTGAGGTCACCGAGTGACCAAGTGTGAGGGAGATGGTGGTGTACCGGAAGAGGGCGTGTGGCGATCTCGCTCTGCTTCGCGATTGGAGGACGAGAGAAGGGGTGCTCGTACGAGGTACGGCTCGTCGAGCGCAAGCGTGGGCGTGAGACGCGATCGCGAAGATGACGAGGGTACGGACGAGGGTGTGGCGAGCAAGGGAGTGGGCCTGGAACACGGCGCGCTGCGTGCGGGCTGCGACGCGGGCGGGATAGCGCACAGTGGAGACGGAGACGTGTCGGGAGCAGGCGGGTGCGTAGAACGTATACGGAGAGAGGACGGCGAGGATTGACGAGCTAGAGTACTCACGAGCTCTGCTACTCCTCGCCTCTCTTCTTGGCCGTTATCCCTGCCCTGCCGACTCGCATCCGCCAGCTCCTTAGGCGTACGCTCTTTGCTACTTGTGCTGATATGGCACGGGGCCTTGATGTATGAGTTGGCGCGACAGGCTTGACCTCGAGCGATGGAACGACGACCGTGGAGTTGCTACCAGGCGCGCAGAGAGTCCACGCGGCCCAGTATTTGCCAAGCGGGGACGTGGACGCGTCGGGAGCAGGCGCGAGTGTAGGACACGAGTGTGGGGAAGACAAGGGCAGACGAGCGTGCCCCGAAGGCGCAAGCTCGTTGCATGAGTATGACGGAGGAGGCGGCGGAAATGCAGGTGGGGACGCAGGCACGTCGGACGAGGACGGAGATCGAGTGTCCTCGATACCCCTGCCCCCTCTGTCTGCATCCGTACCTGCTGTGCTTGGTGGCCCCCCGCTTGCGAGTCCGTGTTGGCTCACCTTTGCGCTTGCCGGGGCTTCTCCGGACAGCGTGAGCCTCTGCGTCGACTCGCTGGACTCGGCGTCGCGCGGTGGCCGGGCGGGCTGTTGACCGGCTTCGTGCGTTGAGGCGACTCGGACGAGGGTGGGGACTCGATTACCGGGCGCGCAGACGTTCCACTCAGCCCGGTATTCCCCTTGCAGGTCATCGGCGCGATCGGTCAGGGTCGTCTCGTCTTGCGAGGCGGCCTTGCAGGTTGGCGACGCGTTGTCTACTTGAGCAACTGACGAGGTGTCCTCGGGCCTTAGCGCGCGCGTCGGAGCGACTTGCTCGGTTTCGTGCGTCGAGCTGGTAGCTGTACCAGGCGCTCGGGGAGTCCACACGGCCTGGTACTCGCTCAGCGGGTCGTCCACGCCGAGGATCTTGAAAGTCGTCGAGTGGCTTCTGCGCAAGTCGGGCGACGTTGGATCGGTGGAGGTTAGACGAAGAGGGATGAATGGTGATGGCGTAACAGGCGAGAGTAGAGACGAGGGGCGTGGATGGGAGAAGACGGACGGTGAGTTCACTTCGCCTCGCTTTCTCGTGTCCTGTAGCCCCCCACTCGACCCTTTGGGTCGACTTGACTTTGCGATGGACGAGAAATCCTCTTCGCACGCTGCATCGGCGGTAGCAGGGTGGCTGCCGAGCGCGGGGCGGTCCCGCATCACTCAGTGTTCGTCCGGAAGGTTGCCTGCGCGAGGCGTCTCGTGCGTAGATAAACGGCCGAGGTTCGCGGGGATGCCGAGGCAAAGGGGGAGGACGTGGGCGTGTAGAGTGGAGAGCAGGGTCGAATGAGTCGACCACTGCTCTTGAAGACCCTGGGCGGAGGCGTGTCGGACAGACGAAGGTGGAGCGAGGAGGCGGGTGCATCAAACGAGTCGGAGGACGCGGCACGAGAGATGAGAGGAGAGGAAGGGAGAGAGGGGTGCGGGTTGACGGTGGAACTCACCGGGGTCGACTCGACTCGTCCCTCTCTTTGGTTGTCCTTCCTGCTTGGCGAGCTCATGCTCGGCTGCCCCCCACTCCAGTATTCATGGCTAGTACTCCTAGCGAGTGGTTGCGCGGCCTCTGCGCACGCCTCGATTCGCCCTGGTGTTGTTTGCTCGGCGGACTTGCAGCCAGACGGCGAGCCAGCGACTTGATTTTCGGCGCTCGCGGTTGTGTAGACATCTGCGCCCGAGGTGGAGGCGTCGGTACTGGGCGAGCAGATGTTCCACACGGCCCAGTACTCATCCTGGAGGTCGCCCGGGCGAGACATCTCGTGGACAACTGAACGGTCAAGGTTCGGGTAGTCAAGGGACGTGCACGTGCGCGATAGGGGCTCCTGCGTCCGATGCGAGCGTCGAGTGGATGGATGCGTGGTCTCCCCGGATGAGGGTGAGCCATCCGAGGCTGTGAGGTCGTTACCGGACGCGCGGACATTCCACATGATCTGGTCTTCGCCCTGCAGGCCGTCTGCGCTAGTGATTCCAAGGGCCGTCAAATGGTTGAGGCGCGAGGAGAGCGAGGGAGGCGTGGGCGAGTTGAGAGACGAAGAGACCGCGAGGTCGAGTCCCGCTAGCGCAGGCGGACCGAGAGGTGCAGACCCGCCTGTCGGAGTCTCTGTGACTCGTCCTTCCCCTCGGCCGACCTCTCTGTTCGAGCTCTGCTGTCCTCCATTCGACCGCTCGTGACTATTCGCCTGGGCGAACGGTTGGGCGACCTCTGTGCGCACTTCGTAGCGCATTGATACGGCCGGCTCGACAAGCTTGGGAGCGGGTCATGTGTGGGCTCCTTGGTCTTCGTCAGTGGATCTGGCTGCTGTACCAGGCGCGCGGACGTTCCACACGGCCTGGTACTTGTCCAGTGGGTCGTCCACGAGCAGGACTTTGTAGGTCGCAAGATGGTCGAGTGACGAGGAAGACGGCTGGCTACCGGAAGATGGTGCGGACGAGGGCGTGTAGCTCGAGGCGGACTTGGTGCGGTGTTGAGTTGGCGACGCCGGCTCAGGGACGCGTTGTGCATCGGTTGTCCGCGCCAAGGATTGGGCTTCGTGTCGGTGCCCTGGCGTACGCGTCGGCGTGATGGCTTTGCTACCACGGGCTTGCTCGACCTCAAGCGTCGAGGCGTAGATGACGGAGAGGCTACCGGGTGCGTGGACGTTCCGCACTACCCGGTACCCATCTTGCAGGCCCTCCGTGTGAGTGGTACCGCTAGAGGTCGAGTGGGCGTGCTGTGAGAGCTTAGACGCGGATGTAGGGACATGGCCAGGAGGTGTAGCCGGGCTTGGAGTGATCGGCGAGGCGAGGCGACCACGCGTGAAGGGTGCTGTCGGACGTGCGAGCGAGTAGGCGCGAGTCTGAGAGGCTGTGGATGCGTTGGACGAGGACGGGGGCACGTAATGCATGTGTAGAGGAGCAGAGGGAGAAGGTAGAGGGATAGACCGGCTCACCGGAGTCTCTGCGACTCGACTCTCCCCTCTGCCTCTCTCAATCTCCGTCCGAGTCGTACTGCGTGGGCTCTTGGATGGTCCTTCGCGGTTGCTCGTCCTCGCGAGCAGTCGGTGTTCGGCCTCCATGCTCATTTCAAAGAGCACCGCAACCAATGCCGCGTTGGACTTGTGGGCCGGCGGCGCGCGGGCTGATGAGTCTTCGTACTGAGAGGCGGCAGCTGGGGGCGGAATGCGAGACGCAAGGCGGTCTCGCGCCTCGTTGAGTATAGCTTGCTGCCTGCCCGCGCGAGAATTGAATACCATTGAGCGTCCGGGACGCGAGTCGGGCAGCGGGCTCGCAGTGGTACTTGCCGTCAATTTCGTTGCAGCGAGATGAGCCTACTGAGTAAGATTTAACGTTCTGAACGTTAAAACCGGAGTGAGATTCACCCGTCTCGAACGTTGCGGCCGGCGCCGGACGGAGGGGTCCGGGTCCACGTTGCAGACGTTGTCGTTGCCAGCGATCCGGCCAGAGTGCATGCCGGCCGGCTCTGCCTCGTCTCCAACGTTGCGGCCGGCCTCACCATCCCTGAATACTGTCCCCAATGATCCACCCGGCCTGTTTTCACAGTACGTTGCAATGCTCTGGCCGGAGTGCATGCCAGCCCCGCCCCCCCTCCTCAATGTTGCGGCCAGCCTGTTTTCACCAGACGTTGCAACGCTCCGGCCGGACTACACCCCGGCCGCCCCCCCCACTTCTGAATGATCCGCCGGCCTCTTTCACCCAACGTTGCAATGCTCCGGCCGGAGGGTATGCCGGCCGGTCATCCCTTGTTCCCAACGTTGCGGCCGGAGCAGGCAGAATTCAAAGCGGCCAGGCAGTCCACGCTGCAAACAGTCCGGCCGGTCAATAGATATGGCATTGCAAACGAGCCGGCCGGCCTCAGGCCCTACCACTACAAATGGTCCGGCCAGACTTTTTGCCGGCCGAAAACACAATGTCTTGGGCCGAGGGTACAGCCAAAACTCGGCCAAAGCAGCCAGACATTTTGCCGGCCAAGCTTTTGCTTCACCGACCAGGCAAGCATTGTCTCGGGCCAAAAAGTTGACCATTTTCTCGGGCCGAAGATTTGAGTACTGCCTCGGGCCGAAGAGTTGGGCATTTTCTCGGGCCGAAGATTTGGCCGAAGCTCGGTGAAAACAGCCGGGCTGTCAGATTGCCATATAAGGAAATTTGGTATTGACTGGTAGTACTTCATTGATAGACTATAGTATCAATTCCCTAGTGACCAAAGATGTCTAGTTAGGCCAGGATGTGCAAAACAAGATTTACTCAGAGGCTTCTTTGCACAGCAAGTTAATCAATTTTTGAAGCCAGTTTTCTTTTCCCACACTGTTTGACTATCTAGGATGTGTTGTTTCAATGCATAGAGTATATCCCCAACAGGAATAGTCTTATTCTTTGAAGCTGAATGCAGAACATGAGATAAGGGGCATACAGATATGGTACCATGCTGAACAATGTTGACTCCTGCAGCCAATGTACATTCAAAACACTGTTTCACAACCTCTGATGGTTCATTTACCCATAGGGAGTGAATCCTCCAAAGGAACAGTCTTATTCACATAAGCTGAATGTAGTACAGAGTTAAGGCAAGGGTGTATGGGTATACATGTCATACTGTGTTCACTTCCTGAAGCCAATATGCTTTCCCCACAATGTTCCACAATCTAGAGTAGCACATTTCAATGCAACAAGCAAGTCTCCCAAAGGAATAGTCTTATTCTTTAAGCTGAACTCGGGGATGAAGATAAGGTGAATATGCATTATATTGTGAGAGACATACTTTGGATTATTGTCTGTCTGGGTGTCACACTGAAATGTTGTACCAGCATGCACATTGCACTTGCCACAGAAACATTTACATTGGTAACAGTCCGGCCGGCCAATCCTCATCCTCATAGGAGATGGTCCGGCCGGAGTGCATGATCCCCTTAACTCTGTACCACATTCAGCTTGTGTGAATAAGACTATTCCTTTGGAGAACTGAGTCCTTGTGAGGAAATGAACTATTCTAGATGGTGAAACATTGTTTTGAATGTACATTGGCTGCAGGAGTCAACATTGTTCAGCATGGTACCATATCTGTATGCCCCTTATCTCATGTTCTGCATTCAGCTTCAAAGAATAAGACTATTCCTGTTGGGGATATACTCTATGCATTGAAACAACACATCCTAGATAGTCAAACAGTGTGGGAAAAGAAAACTGGCTTCAAAATTGATTAACTTGCTGTGCAAAGAAGCCTCTGAGTAAATCTTGTTTTGCACATCCTGGCCTAACTAGACATCTTTGGTCACTAGGGAATTGATACTATAGTCTATCAATGAAGTACTACCAGTCAATACCAAATTTCCTTATATGGCAATCTGACAGCCCGGCTGTTTTCACCGAGCTTCGGCCAAATCTTCGGCCCGAGAAAATGCCCAACTCTTCGGCCCGAGGCAGTACTCAAATCTTCGGCCCGAGAAAATGGTCAACTTTTTGGCCCGAGACAATGCTTGCCTGGTCGGTGAAGCAAAAGCTTGGCCGGCAAAATGTCTGGCTGCTTTGGCCGAGTTTTGGCTGTACCCTCGGCCCAAGACATTGTGTTTTCGGCCGGCAAAAAGTCTGGCCGGACCATTTGTAGTGGTAGGGCCTGAGGCCGGCCGGCTCGTTTGCAATGCCATATCTATTGACCGGCCGGACTGTTTGCAGCGTGGACTGCCTGGCCGCTTTGAATTCTGCCTGCTCCGGCCGCAACGTTGGGAACAAGGGATGACCGGCCGGCATACCCTCCGGCCGGAGCATTGCAACGTTGGGTGAAAGAGGCCGGCGGATCATTCAGAAGTGGGGGGGGGCGGCCGGGGTGTAGTCCGGCCGGAGCGTTGCAACGTCTGGTGAAAACAGGCTGGCCGCAACATTGAGGAGGGGGGGCGGGGCTGGCATGCACTCCGGCCGGAGCGTTGAGCAGTGGGGGGTGGGCTGGCACGCGCTCCGGCCGGAGCGTTGCAACGTCTGGTGAAAACAGCCCGGCCGCAACATTGGAGGTGGTATTTGAGGAGGGCAGGGCCGGCCGCAACATTGGGGACAAGGCTGAACCGGCTGGCATGATCTCCGGCCGGATCACTGGCAACGTCCACATCTGCAACCTCCACATCTGCAACGTGGACCCGGACCCCTCCGGCCGGCGCCGGCCGCCACGTTCGAAACGGGCAAATCTCACTCCGGTTTTAACGTTCGGAACGTGTAAGACACACTAAATAATGTGGCGAGATGACTCGCGGGTGCGCGGACGATCCGCACGACCCGTTCTTTGCCCTGCAGGCCGTCTGCACGAGCGATCTTGAAGGCCGTGGGGTCGCTGAGGCACGAGTCGAACCGGGGAGGGCTGACAGGGCGCGGGGGTGCAAACGGCGGCGAGTCGGACGGGATTGGGGACGGAGGCGAGTGGGACGAGGCCAGATGCGTAGGGTGCGGGCGTGACACGGATGGATGCATGGGTGCATCGGACGTCCACGCTGTGGACTGGGCTCCCAGTCGGTGCTTTGGCGTACGCGTTGGCGCGTCGGACTCGCCATCACGCTGAGGTCGAGCGCGAGGTTGCACGGCTTCGGGCCTTGAGCTGACGACGGCGGGACGACCACTGTTATCGAGCGAGCGGACGTTCCACTCGGCTCAATACTTGTCTGGAGGGTCGCCCGTGCGGGTGGAGTCGTGGGCAGTGAGAGAACCAAAGTGCAAAGGGGACAGCGAGGTACTGGCGGAGAGTCCAGACCTCGAGGACCGTGAAGCGAGCAGGCAGACGCAGAGCGAGGAAGTCGGCACGGTGTTAGCTGGTGGAGGCGTGGAATGCGGGTGTGGAGGCGCAATGCGAGGGAGGAGAGGAGAGGACGATGGGGGACGGAAGGGTGTACTCATCAGAGTCGTCCTGACTCTCCCGTCGGCCTCCTTGCTTGTTCCATCGCAGTGCTGCGTTCGAGCGCAGGTCTGCGCATCCTCCGTGTGATTGGCTGCGCGCGTCGACGCGTCTAGCGGAGCTGGCTTGCAGGCGCGAGACGCGCTGTTTGTCTGCGAGGCCTGCGTGCTTGCCCTCACGCGCGTCGGGATGGCCTGGTCGTTGGGCTTGCAGGCGGGCTGCGCGTTGGTCGGCCGCACCATGGGTGGCACCTCCTGTCGGGGCCTTGGCGTGCGCATCGACGTGTCGGTCTTGCTGTCGCGCAGAGGACGGACGCGCGGTTGCTCGACCTCTGGCCTTGAGCCGTTGGCGGCGAGGCAGCCACTTGTACCGAGCGAGCGAAGAGTTCGCTCGGCTCGGTACTCATGTTGCAGGCTGCCCGCGGGAGTGGTTCGGAGGGCAGCGGGAGAGTCGGGGCGCGAGAAGGGTGGAGGGGCGAGGTCGACACGTTGAGCGAGCGACTCAGCGCGTGACGCGTCCGGGCGCTCGCGCGGGGACGGAACTCCCACGGGTCTCCGAACGGACTCGGACCGTGCAGCTCGAGATGCTGGGCTGCAGGTGGCGATTGGAGGTGGTTGGGAGCCTCGAGGCTCGATCGCCGAGGCGTAGAGGTGGGCGCTGTAGGCGCACGAGCTGTGAGCTGGCACAGGGGCCCGAATTGGTGATAGTGCTCACCATTCGGAGCAGGCCAGCCAGCTGGGAGAAGGCATTAGGATAGAAAGTGGTAGATAGAGTACTCGAGAATGGATTTCGACTTTGAAGGAATTCCGAGAGAACCTAGAGGGACCAAGGGTGTTCACAGGGCAGTGGACCGGTCCCCTGAATGTCCACCAATGTTAGGGCTCGTGGGCTCGGAACCCTAGATTCAGGGGCCGGGCTGCCTCGTGAACCTAATGGTTGGTGGTCGCGACGCGACCAGGGGGGAAAGGAGGATCTCGGGGTCGTGAGCAAGGTGAGGAGTACCTGCTAGGGTCGTTAGCAGGGCGACGAGCCTTGCTATTCGGGAGCGCGGAGAGGTCCTTGGTTGCCAGCGACGAGCTGGGCCAAGCAGGGAGTCCTAGACGGGCTGTTGGGCCAGGTCGAGGAGGGGTCCAAGGCGAAGGCGACGAGCCTAAGCCGAGGGGAGTTCCTAGGTGGGGCGACGAGCCTAACCGAGGACAGGGGAACTAACTCGGACGGCGCGAAGAGTTCGCACTTGGACGAGGTGGTAGTTCAGGTAGAAGAGTAGATTACTTCCCAAAATGGAAGTCAGATCGCTAGGTACATTGAGATAAGATGAGATGTACACTATCAGTTCATAATCTAATCTAGAGGACAGATAATGGGTTATCTATCCGTAACATTAGGCAATAATCCGAAATCCCTGGATGAGCCATTTGATGAACCTCCTGAGGATGCCAACTCAGAGGATTTATATTTTGAGGATATTCCTATCCCTCATCAGGAAAGGCCTTTCGCTCCGCCAAAGCCATATGGCAACGGAGAGAGCCAAATGAGACAACAGAGATAAGGGCACGATATACAGGCGCCGTGCTCCCTTGGCCTAGACATGGCTAGCGTGTCTCCGTACAGAGGCAACGGTCTCCGTGGGCTGCCATGAAGAGACAGTGGTCGACCTATGCGTGTTCGTGGAGCGTAGTCTACTGTACACGACTTAGACTTAAGAGAGATAGATCGAGGAGGTAGATCGCCCAAATGTCGTCCATAAATTGCGAATGGCGTGCATCTAAGTAACATGCCGACTCGGATTGTACTGCTACTAATCTTCGCTAAGTATGTGGGCTCAGGCTGCGACTCGGAACAGTCATCGCCTCCGGATCAGGCTCGACATCAGAGCTATCCTGGAAGTCACCAAGGTCTGCGCGGATGTTGGTCATCTCGTCCTGGACCTCTGCTGGCAATAATGCTTGTATGACGGGCTGGTGCGGTTGCGCGTCAGCTTTGGCGCGGGCATGCGATCTACGAGCAATATCGTAAGCATCTGATGTGCACGGCTCGAGTTCGTGACTTACAGGCCCTGGGTGTAGAGAAACTTACGGTACGTTCACCAGTTGCATTCAACGTTGAGCTGGTTGAGTACGCACACGTAGTCGTCGAACTCCTTCCATGCGCTCTTGGCAAACTGACCATTAACCCGCTCTCCCGTTTCATACAATGTCAGGCATTCACGAACCTGTATTATTAGCAAGTTCAAGTGAGTACGGAAATCCCTGTGCCAAACTGTTCACATACACCCGTGCAGATATTAGCGATGATCGCATGCGGAATCGGCTTGAAGTCGGACGCATAGAGGGGGCCGAGTGAGTTACGGTGTAGAAACCAGACCTTGTCGATCACATATGAAATGATCGGATGGCGGAAACGTCCACGCGCAGTCTCCGGGTCCTCGTATTGGTGTCAGCTGTGGTACTTGCTCGAATAGAAATTAATGACTTACCAGACAGTGGAAGCGACAGTCAGTCCCTCGGCGTGGGTCCAATGGGGCCGTGTTTGCGTACTTGCCGTGGAGCAAGAATGCAACACGGGCCTTGTTTGCCTCCTTCTCGCTGGCATTCCGTGGCGTACCGTGCAACCGGTACTTGTCGACGAGCCCGGCCATGATCGCCTGCTTGATGTGTGACCGTATGTTCGACTCTTCCTTTCCGAGCTGTCATATTTCAGTATATCAGTATGCTTAATTGTACGAGATTCATGTGAAGTAAGTACGTACCAATTTCGCATGCTCAACGGTCATTACATAGGTAGATGCCGGGATTCCCTGCTCGACGACGGCAGCGGTGAACTTCTGCGCCACTACGATGTCAAGATCACGCGGGGAAGGGAAGGGGTTCACCGTAGAGAAGTGTACTTGGAGCATGGTGGCGGCACAACGTAGGATACATGAGAGCCGTTGATCATCGCGGTAATGGCTATGGGCAGGCCGTGACACGTTGTATTTGGCTTTCTTTGCTTTTCTGCGGTATGCAGTGTCGTCCTCATCACAGGCAGCTCGTTTTGAAGACGGTGTCACCGTTGCTTGCTCATGGGTAGCATCGCTCGGGTGAACTTCGAGTTGAGGTGCACCGTCTGCGGATGTCGATGAAATAGGCCGCTGGTGTCCCACCAATGACAACGCCTGAGTCTGTGGTGTCAGAGATGGCGTTGTCGACTGCCTCCTAAGCAGTTGTAAAACTTCGGGTGGGATTTCGGGTAGGAGGGACTGGACCTGACTCAGAGTCGGTGCAGCGGGTGTCGAAGGAACAGGAATTGAGTGTTGCCGGATACCGGGGTTGACAGCCAGCCGTCGTGGAGTTGTTGAAGGAGTGAAGGTCTGTGTTGTCGATGAGAACTGCAGTGAGGTCATCAACCAGAAAACCGCCACGTCTTACATGAGATGACTTACTACTGTCGAGGCGTTCAGTTCTTGAGTAGGCCCTTGTGATGCTGCGGCAAAATTTGAAGAAGTGCCTGCTGCCGAACCATTTTCACGCCTCTGCCGTGGACGCTGCTCCACGTAGTCTTCATCATCTGAGTTGAGGCCCCTCTCGCGATCGAGGTCGGCACGAGTTGCCTCCATATCCCCGGGCCAGACATCATCGAGAGCTCGTGGGCTAGTGTCACGCCGGAGTGTCGTGCTGTCCTGTGCTACTTGAAGAGTCCGTTCACCTGCCATGCGATGCATCAATTCTGTATGTAGCCTCGGAGTCAATGCCTATCAACCCAACTAAGGTGCAAAACTACTTGCCTGGGTCCGAATGTGCAGTTGCACGTATTGGACGTGCGCGACTTGGCCGAGGATCTTGTGCTTGAAAGTCTGATGCCAGCAGAGTTGGTACAGCTTCCACCGGTGATGCATTGTGAATTCGAGGAGCATCCGGACGGCCCCGCGTCGGCATTTGCAGTGCTCAGCACTGCCGGCTGCAAGAGAAAGGAGGGGAGTCCAGGGACTATTGAAAGGTTGCTGAGTCTTGAGCCAGTGAGTCACGCAGCGGTAACGGCTGCTACGGTCATTGCCGAATTGTTCACTTACCCATTGCAGTCTCGCTGATCATCTCTTTGCTCGCTCTGCTTGACGGAAGGCTGCCCACAAATCAGTACGTATCATTTCAAGTTCGATTCATTGACACAAACCTTACTTGGATTGACAGCTCGATTCCCATGTCAGGGCCAAAACAGCTTTATCGACGCATTCCTGGCGCCGGTCAGAAGGGCAACGCACACCCCACTGTTTTCGAGTTACGCCGCTTGCAACAGATCGCAAAAAAGCAGCAGCCGTGGTACCCGTTTGCAGGACCAGAGGAATGGGAGCTTTGCGAGTGGATCATCAAGAGTAATCTATCGCAGCGCGCGCGACCGACAAACTCCTAAAGGGAAGTCTGGTGAGCAAACACCTTTATTCAACCGAGAGATCAGTTCTGAACTTATCTTGAAGTTCCGGGAGGCAGACCACACGAAATATGCTTCATTCCATGACAACAAGACTTTCCTGCGCACGGTGGATTCTCTTCCCGGACCTTCGGCAGACTGGAAACTTGTCGAGATTACAGTCGAGGGCAACCAAGTCGATGCAACCGGCAAGAAGATGTCTGAAGTCCTTGACCTATGGGCACGAGATCCTGTTGCAGTTGTTGCGGATCTAGCTGGTGACCCACACTTTGAGGGGAAGAGTTCATTCGAGCCGACACAAGTCGTATTCGAGCGAGATGGTCCAGATGCACCGGAGATCCAGTTTTATGAGGACATACCTACAGGCGAGTGGATGTGGCGACTTCAGGTGAGCTTCAGTTGTCCGAAATATGGATCAATGTCGACTCACAGTCGCTGTAAGTCACTGCTTCCCAAGGGTGCTACAATCGCGCCCGTTATCCTTTCATCTGACAAGACGCATCTGTCGACGTTCAGTGGTGACAAGCAGGCGTGGCCGGTGTATCTCACCATCGGCAATATCTCCAAGGATGTTCGCCGGAAACCATCCGAGCGAGCCGCAGTCTTGCTTGGCTACCTACCTGTGGCGAAACTATCCTGCTTCTCCCCCACAGAACGGTCACTGCAGGGCCCGGGTACCGGCTTTTCCACTATGCTATGCGCAAGTTATTGGAGCCACTCATCGACGCAGGTACCCATGGCCGCCAGATGTGCTGCGCCGACGGCTACATTCATCATGTGTATCCTATCATGGCGGCGTACGTAGCGGACTATCCCAAGCAGTGTTTGATCTGCTGCTGCAAAGAGAACCGATGTCCTACCTGCCTCGTCAAACCTACGGATCGAGGCGAGCTACTCAACACACTCTATCGTGATCCACAGGAGACACTTGCTGCCCTGAGGAACCCCCATGCCGATGAAACATTTGAGGAGCAGGGCCTTCGTGAGGTTCCCGAGCCCTTCTGGTCCGATCTGCCATATACAAACGTTTTCGGCTGCATCACTCCCGACCTCCTACATCAGCTGCATAAAGGTGTTTTCAAAGATCATTTTGTCAAATGGTCGACGCACGGAAACGTCGCGCAGACGGACGCGCGTATGGCGCGTGTCCCTCCATACCACGGCCTCCGAGTGTTCAAGAAGGGCATATCCACCGTCCAGAAATGGACAGGAATTGAGTATCGTCAAATGGAGAAGGTCTTCGTGGCCGTCATAGCTAGCATGCGTTACTTGGAACCACGGATTCGAGCCGCCGCGCGAGATCTCCTGGACTTCATATATCTCGCTCACTACCCGGCCCATACTACGTCGACGTTGGAGGAGATGCGTTCAGCACTGGTCGCGTTCCACGCCCACAAGCAGGTGTTCGTCGACCTTGGAATCCGTCAGCACTTCAACATTGCGAAGATTCACTGGTTGGATCACTACATACCAAGTATCGTCGCTGTTGGGTCGTGCGATGGGTTCAGCACCGACATTTTCGAGCGCCTTCATATTGATTACGCAAAACAGGGCTACAGGGTGAGTAATCGGCGAGAGTACCTGCGGCAGATGGTGACATGGCTTACCCGGCGTGAGAAGGTCAAGACGCACCAGTCATTCCTACGATGGCTTGAAGGCAAGAACCCTGCAAATCCGACACCGGCAGCACCGCACTTCAGCCCTCCCGATGACGAGGAGGACTCGTATTCTGACGAGTTCTCCTCAGACAGTGAAGATGCCAGTGGTCTTGATGAAAGTCCCAATGGCGGGGGTCGGTCCGAGTCGCTGCATGACCAGATGGACGTTGATCCGGGGCCCTCAATGCGGGCTACTGAAGTTCGAGTCGTGGTGAAGCTGGAGGAAGATGAAACTATGCTATCCGAGCCAGCGGTGTTGAGCAGCGAGGACAACGAATGGCGGGTACAGCCAGAAGAGCGTGCAATCGTGAGTCTTGTTCAATCCAATACAGATAGTGAAATACGCACTGACTCTGGGCGTATAGAGTGGCAATTTGGAATACCACATAAGCCGCACGCCGGGATTAGGCTACATGTCCGGCGCCAACATCACTGAGATGTTCGCCGCGACTCGGTTCGAGGACGCCCTCTCACGTTTCCTTCTCAGTGAATGTCCTTCTGCCTCACGAAACATGCTTGCACTGCTCGAGTCCGAATATGCTGTCTTCCCGCAATTCAAACGTACACTACCATCGCTGCATCAAGTCAACAATGACCGCTTCCTGGACCGCGTGTATGCTCGCCCGGCCAAGGGAACACAGTCTGCGTACTATGACACAGTCTTGTACGCACCGCAAGGCGAACCATCATTCTCAACGAGTCTCGAACGTACGTAGTAGAATGAACCTCTCACGGTGAATGCCTATTAATCTACTGCATGTCAGATTATCGTGTTGCGCAAGTGCGCGTTATCTTCTCTTTGCCGCCGCATCTACAGCACCTTCGCCTTCATCCAAATGAAGAGCAATCACACCTCGCATACATTGAGCTGTTCACACCGTTTGAGGATCGACCCGAGCAGTATAGCCGGCTGTTCACAGTCTCGCGAAGTCACGAGAACATGCAGCGGAAGTCGCTGGTCATCCCTCTCAAGTCCATTCTTCGGAGCTGCCATTTGGTGGCTGATTGTGGGGAGGATATTGAACGTGGATGGGCATCGGAGACGGTACTGGAGGAATGTGAGGACTTTTTTTTCAACGTGTTTTCGGACCACCATATGTTCAAATTCACTCGCACCCATCCTTTGTAATTCGTAATCTGGTCATATGTACGAGGGACATTGTTCATCATTGACATTGTCTGCAATGGAATGTCTTTCTCGATGCCCCATTAATATTGTGCGCCATGAATGTGTAGCGGTGTCCTGGTCATGCTAGTGCTAGCTCACAGCGAGCGCCCAGGAGGCGTCTCGCGTGCGAGTTGCTCTGCACTCTCATGCCCTCTCTCTCGCCTCATTGTTCCATCGAACAGCTGGCCTGTTCAGACCTTAACACTATCAAGCTTCTCATCAAACCGAGTGGGCCGGGCCCACTAAATATCGTGCGTGGTTCTATTCATTGCAGTTGTTGACTCCGACTGACAGGCCATGCACGGCACACCTCTTGACAGACCATCCACCTTCACTCTGACTGCCATCATAATCCTCACATACTCCCCTCAGCTGATCTTGCCGTCAACCGCACTCCTGAGAGGGAAAGCCCACAACCAATTGCAGGCAATGACTCTGCAACTGTTAAGCCTGAAGACGACCCATTTATCGCGCTGCCGCCAACCCCTCTTAGACCTCCTCCGGTCGTCGATGACTCACTAATCGAGGATGAAGGTCAGTGTTCATTACCTCTATGGCCTCCTGCTCATCCTGATGGATTGAGCGGCGCTGGTGCAGCGTCACGCGAGGCATTAGGAGGTGCGGTCAACTGGGAGGGAGATCGTAGTGGACAGCGAGCCAAGTGGGTGCACAAGTCTCCCACTCCGACTCGGAGTAGGCTTCTGCGAGACAGATTGGACCAGTGGGTGAGTAATTGGCTTCTTGTATGGCCTGCTGGTGTACTAAAGAGTTCAATACAGGCAACTCCAGGCCGGCAGAGAGAACCCTCGCCATTCCCTGGGATCTTCGACTTCGGCTCACCCGAGCACGATTCCTCACCACCAGCAAGTCCTTGTCTGCTACTTGGTACAAGCTCTCGCGACGCACTCCACATGCCGAAGTACTCCACAGCCCACTCTTCAAAACACGACTCACAAGCCGGCCCCTCTGTCGTCGCTGGCTCGCGCTACAAACGTGAGCCACGGGCGGCACACCAGTGGCGGTCACTAGGACTCTTTGAGTTTGGAAGCTCTCCGAAACACGACGCGACTCCGGAACACGACGCATCCCCGAAACACAACCCGCCGCCGAATCGTGATCCTTCTCCGAAACACGAACCTTTGTCAGCCAGTCCCATCCTCCGACAGGACAACCATCGCACCACTGCCGTACATCGCACGCCGAAGAGTAGACGCCAGCAGCGAGCTCAGAAGATTTACCAACGACATCTGCTGACGTCGGGGCCTGGCGGTGCTCTGAAGTCCGAGTGAGGTGTCGACACCTTCGCTCGTGTTATAGCATGAGAGCCGTATATACTGTTCACGGATGCTAGTTCGTAGCATTCCTGTATTTTCAAACAGTCTATATAATGTTTTCTCAGCCCGACAGAGTGAGTGTCGGCTCTGCATGCCCTCATATTGCAACTCGTGTACCACAAGGCCCTCTGATGAGCATGTCGCTCTCGAGGGTGCTCCACGGAGACTGTTTCTCCGCAAGGAGACAAAGTCTCCACGTGCTAAATGGCGCACATCGGCCCTCCTCTCCGAGCCTTGATCTCCACGGGAGGGTGGGGTGAGCCACGTGTTTGCGCTCGTTCCCTTTTGGAACGATGGAGAAACCGTCCCCTTATGGAGACTCAGGCGTTTCCTGATGCTGTTCCTGTCCCGCCGGAACATGAACCTGAAGAACATCAGGAGCCAGTGGGAGATAATCTGCAACAGCAACCTGATCCAGTAGCTCCTCTGCAACCTCAGTATGAGCGTCCTCACTGTCAAGGTGCTGGACAGAACCCTCAGAGGAATAGAGACAATGCCTATGGTGACGAGCCACCAGCAAGTATTGACCGTCGTACTGATAGTCAAGGCCGTCAACAACCTGAGGCTGAAACTGCTCAATTTATACGGATGCTGGCGGAAGCGAACCATGGTCTTCCCCAAAGTCATAAGGAAGCCATGGAATCTCACGACCATGATAAATGGCTCACTGCTGAAGGTTCTGAGTACAAGTCACTCATGGACAATAAGACTTGGGTTCTAGTTCCATGGCCTAAAAACCGGAAGGTTGTCAAGTGCCATTGGGTTTATGCGATTAAGCATGATGGTCGCTATAAAGCACGTGTTGTCGCAAAGGGATTTACCCAAGTATGGGGTCAAGATTATACTGAGACTTTCTCTCCGGTTGCATGGTTTGAATCTGTACGCTACTTGTTGGCACATGCAGCCCTTGAAGATTGGGAGATAGAGTCTATGGATGTCAAGATGGCATTCCTTAACGGTGACCTTGACGAGGAAATCTACATGGAACAACCCGAAGGATGGGTTGTACCTGGCAAGGAGAACTTTGTCTGTCTTCCCAAGAAGGCAATTTATGGATTAAAGCAAGCTTCTCGTCAATGGAATGCTAAGATCCACAAGTCTCTCCTAGACTTAGGGTTTAAATGGACTTATTCGGATGCTGGAATTTATGTCTTCTCCCGGGACTCTGATGGACACACCTGCCTAATCATATTGTATGTCGACGACTTGCTCATCATGGGTGACTCGAAATTGTTTATCGACAACATCAAGCAGAAGTTGTCCTTAGATTATCAGATGACAGATCTGGGTGCTGTTCAGTGATTCCTTGGTCTTAGAATACGTCGAGAGCGTACTACACGTCTCATCTACGTTGATCAGGAAGACTATATTGAGTCAGTTTTGTTTCAGATGTCCAACTGCAAGCCTGCACGGACACCTCTTCCCGCTGGAGCAGACCTAGAGAAGAATCCAGACACTGCATCTGAGGTTTTCCGTACCCGCTACCAGAGCATTATTGGCAGCATCATGTATGCTATGCTCGGTACTCGTCCAGACATTTCTTTCGCGGTCACACGTCTGGCAAAGTATTCTTCAAACCCATCCAAAGAGCATATGCGGTTAGCCTACTATGTCCTAAGATATCTTCAAGGGACTAAGGAACTTGCTCTCTGTTATGACGGAGGCTCGAATTCTGGTCTGATTGCCTATTCAGACTCTGACTGGGGTGAAGATCGCAATGATAGGCACTCTACAAGTGGCTTTACTTTCCTTATGGCCAATTGTGTCGTTTCTTGGGTGTCAAGACATCAACCGACGGTATCTTTGTCTTCAACTGAAGCAGAGTATAAGGCCAGCTCTGACTGCTGTCGTCAGATGGCGTGGCTACGTCATTTTGGAGAAGAACTGGGAGATAATATGTCTCATCCAACTCTGCTTTGTCTTGACAACCAAGGCAACATTTTCCTTGCGGTGAACCCTGCTGTGGATCGCCACACCAAGCATATAGAAATCCGTTATCACTATATTCGGGAGTTCTACGAACATGGAGAAATGGAGATCTACTACGTTGCAAGTGAAGACCAACTTGCTGATGCCTTGACCAAGAATGTTCCATTCAGTGGAATTGAGAAATTCAGGTCTTCAGTTGGCATGATGAGATACTTGACATCTTGAACAAGTGGGAGTGTTGAACTTCCGACTTTCCAGTGTTATCTTATCTTATCAGTTACGTACATATATGGACTTGTGTTCTGCGATGTAGTATTACATACATTCTTTTGATGGACTCTGTCTGGACTCATCTTGTGACTCGCTCCAGACCGATCTACACTGTTCCAGACTTATTCTGGATCATTCCACTCCCTTCCGGCATGTTCCACTCCCTTCCAGTACATTCCTTGATCACATGGACACTTATTCATATCCCTATCTCTGGAGTTAAGGCTTACTCATTTCCCTAAAACTCGGACTTAGTGATTACTGATCTGCTTACTGATGTAGCATGTGATCAGTCCCAGACATGTATATATACTGGGGTGATTCCCCCTAATGGATAACGATCTCTCCTCTCTTCTGCCTGCCTAGCATCAGAGTCTTCCCTCTGGGATAGGTCTGTTCAATCCACTCTACTGTCCTTCACTTCCACTGGCCTAACAAGCCCTTCTAAACCTCTTTCACTTCAACAGTCTGTTGTTCTGTGGAGTGAAGATGTCCTTCCAGACATCATCGATTGCGGGCAATAGCTTGCTATGTGCAATGCCGTCTTCGTACTCTTGCACTTTCGCAGGCCACCGCTTCTTAACCTGTGCGAAATGGACCTTGTCAAGTCCTTGAAGACGGTCTGTTGTCTTTGATCATTCCTTCACGGTCTCCATATGTGCAGTGAGCATGCCTGGCGTCAGCACGGCTGCGTACAAGCTGCTGTAGCTTGACCCCTCGGAGGTTTTCAGGCGGTCCCGATGGCGGTGCTTGAACTTCACCACCTAGTTCTTTCCAACCATCGCAGGTGGCTGGCCAGGCGGACGTGGCTGTGCTGCGAGGAATTGGTTTGCAACATTGTTGATTTTGCGATTTGTGGGTGGGCGAGCACGGTCCGAGCATCCCTCGATCCATCTGACTATCTCCTCTTCCGCATCCGCTGGAATACGTAGTTCACGATTTGCCCGTGTCTCCCGTGATGGCTGGCCATGTGCACGGCGGCGGATTGTCTCTCGTGGCACCCTGGTTTTGGCAGCGAACTTCCGGAGCCCTTGAGGCACCTCTGCTACTGTCTGCTCCACGTTGTACGCATTCGCAGCAGCATTGTGGTGTTTATAATTCTGTTTTGCAGTCTTGTGTGTCCGGGTATATTGGGCTAGAGCAATATTGACCATAGTGAGCCATTACTGGGAGTGAAAGGAAGAGAAATGTCACTCGCAACAGAGCGTCTGAGCTCGATGTAGTGACGGAATATGCACATACTCCACAGTGTTTCACGCAGTAACTGTCCTGTTTGATAGAATTAAAGGTGATTTTCTAGTATTTTAGGTGATCGGCTGCGTAGTCTACGGAACTCGGGAGTGCCCCTGCGAGCGTTGTTCGGGCGTGCAAGACACTTCCATATACAGAAGGTTCCCGACCATTTTAGGAAGGTGACCCATCGGGGGGTACTGACCCAGGCCCCCGGCAACTACCCTTGATGTTTGTCCGCCAAACCGACCGTGGAAAGGCCTCGTTCACCCAATGTTTCCGCCGTGGTTCACCCAATATCGGACAAAGATGTCACGAATGTCACATCACGTGAAAGATGTCACATTGGTTTGTCACTCCATTTTCGCTCTCATTATGCCTCTATTATGGCCAGGTGAAGTGATGAGCACACTCAAGCATACTAGGTTAACATATCACAATAAGATGACCATTGAATGCCTGTGATCCGGTAAGCCGCAGGAAGTATTGAATATAATATTGGTGGCACCCCTCCGGCCCTCGCTCGGTCACCCTATACACATTATTCAGTGGTACCTACTCGATACTAACGGTACAGCCGGAGTGCATTTCGACCGTTGCAAACGGTAAAGCCGCCTCCGGCCGGAGCTGTGATTTCCTCGTTGCAAACAGGCCGGCCGGACTGGTTTCTAACAAGCCGGCCGAGCGTATCTCAAACCAGTTCAAACGGTCCGGCCGGTGTATCCCTAGGGCACCTATGTTCTGTCTGAACAGGGGGGCCATTTAGTGTCTTGCTGGCAATGGACCGGCCGGGCAATAAGGGGTTTTAATTATAACAGATCAACCAGGATACTCTTTCTCCTATGGTAACGAACCGGCCGGGCAATGGGATCCTTCATTTGTAACGGGCCAGCCGGAGTGCATAATTCAGCAGTTGCAATGGGCCAGCCGGAGCATATGCTCCCTGGCTAATAAGAGACCGGCCGGGTTGCATCATCTCTAGCTGGCAACGGAGTGGCCGGACCATTTTTCCACATTGATAGCAGGCTAGCCAGGCCATATAATCTAGCACTCCACACTGGTAACGGTCCGGCCGGGCAGTGGCACCATCCATTGGTAACGGTCCGGCCGGGCAACAGTATTGTGACCCAGTATTGGCTGGGCCAGTCAACAATAGACCATACTCCCTTAGAACAGCCTACTAGTAGCATGTATTATATGTCCACAGTGCATGCCCTATCACATTGCCTGAGCTGTTAGCTCACTGGCCAGCCATGCAAACACTGGCCGAGAGCATTCAAAAACCTTCGGCCTATTGTATTATGATACAGAGTGTGATTTGAATGATTGTATATGTAAGACCATCACTAATGGAGCCCAACATAGTGTTCCCACAACTCAAAGGGGCTTAGTGAAGCTGCCACCAGCCAAATTAAATGGCCGGACATCTCAAAACATCGGCCGGGCATTTTAGTTCATTGGCCGAAGCTTTTAATTCACTGGCCGAAGCTTTTACTTCATTGGCCGAAGCTTTTCGTCACCGGCCGAAGCTTTGGATTGACCGGCCGAAGCTTCTACTTCACCGGCCGGCGAAAACAGCCGGTGCTCGGCCAAAAAATGGCTGGCCGGTGGGCAAAACCGGCCGGGCTGTTGAATTACTATATGTGGAAATGTGGTATTGTCTGGAAGCCCTTCATTCATAGAGTCTAGTATTGATTTCCTAGTGTCCAAAGGTACATAGTTAGGCCAGGATATGCGAGACAAGATTTACTCACAGGCTTCTTTGCAAAACATGTTATTCAACTGCTGAAGCCAATATTCTTTGCCCACACTGTTTGACTATCTAGAATGTGTTATTTCAATGCATAGAGTAGATCCCCAAAAGGAATAGTCTTATTCTTTGAAGCTGAATGCAGGACAACAAATAAGGGGTATACAGGTATGGTATACATGCTGCAGCTAATTTCATTCCAAACAGTTTCACCATCTAGAATGGTTCATTTACACACAAGGAATGAGTCGTCCAAAGCAATAGTCTTATTCACACAAGCTGAAGTGGTACAGAGTTAAGGAGATCATGCACAGGCGTACATCTTATGAGGTTCCGCCGACCATTACCAACAGTGGTAGATGTTTCTGTGCCATCTGATTGCCAAACCTGTGGCAAGCATATTGGTCAGGATGTGAACACAGTATAACATGTATCCCATATACCCCCCTTAACTCTGTGCTCCTTCAGCTATGTGAATAAGACTATTCCTTTGGAGACTGATCCTTGTGGTCAATGAACATTCTAGATGTAAACTGTTTGGAAAGAATTAGCTGCAGCATGTTTACATAACTGTATACCCCTTATTTGTTGTCTGCATTCAGCTTCAAAGAATAAGACTATTCCTTTTGGGGATCTACTCTATGCATTGAAATAACACATTCTAGATAGTCAAACAGTGTGGGCAAAGAATATTGGCTTCAGCAGTTGAATAACATGTTTTGCAAAGAAGCCTGTGAGTAAATCTTGTCTCGCATATCCTGGCCTAACTATGTACCTTTGGACACTAGGAAATCAATACTAGACTCTATGAATGAAGGGCTTCCAGACAATACCACATTTCCACATATAGTAATTCAACAGCCCGGCCGGTTTTGCCCACCGGCCGGCCATTTTTTGGCCGAGCACCGGCTGTTTTCGCCGGCCGGTGAAGTAGAAGCTTCGGCCGGTCAATCCAAAGCTTCGGCCGGTGACGAAAAGCTTCGGCCAATGAAGTAAAAGCTTCGGCCAGTGAATTAAAAGCTTCGGCCAATGAACTAAAATGCCCGGCCAATGTTTTGAAATGTCCGGCCTATTGATTTGGCCCTGTAGGGACAACCTGGCTAATTTTATGGCCAGTAAAGCAAAAACCTGGGTGAGTGAAATCTCTGGCCAGTTAATTTGGCCAGCCAGTGGGGCTGTTTTGTGTTTTGCAGCTTCACTAGGCATCCCTAAGTCATGGGAAAATTATGCTGTGATCTACTAATGATGGTATACCCTATAGGTGCATAATACATATAGTATTTCAATAGCCCCCAGGGGGCTGTGACCGGCCGGACCATTTGAAGCAGGACAACTCCTGCCCGGCCGCCTGTTCGTGGAGTCAGTTTGTTTAGGCTGGCCAACCCATTCTGGACCAGATAGACTTCACTCGGCCGGTCCGCTTGCAATGAAGGGATTTTATCCTGGCCGGAACATTTGAAGTGGTGGGGCCTGAGTCCGGCCGCTCTGTTTGCAACGTGGACTGGCCGGCCGCTCCGTTGCATGTGCTAACCCTGCCCTCCACCCGGCCTGTTTGCAGTGATGTTGTATGGGTCCGGCCGGACCGTTGCCTATCCAGCCGGACTGTTTACAACAGGTACATTACCCCGGCCAAAAGCCCGGCCGGCCTGTTGCAAGCGGTGCATTGTTGCTAACGGTAGACCCGGACTACTCCGGCCGGAGGCGGCTCTACCGTTTGCAACGGTCGAAATGCACTCCGGCTGTACCGTTAACAGCGAGGTTTTCCACTGAATGGGCTCCCCTATATCCGGACAAAGATTGGGCGGCCAGAGGCTTCCACCACCCAATAACGGACAGAGTTTGGGCCCCTCCGGGGCCCCTCCTTCACCCTATACCCGGACAAACATCTAGGATAGTTGCCGGGGGCCTACTGACCCATTGGGGGTTTAAGTCTGTATTCATTCATTAGCATGCTCTGCACAGATTACGTAATAGAAAAGTCTGCCAGTTTGAGGTGGTATCATTGTTCAGTGTTTGAGACAGTACATTATATTGACATGGTATAACAGGACAGCTTAGCTACAGTTAGGCAAGAGCAACTGTGCAACTGCACATATCATTAGGGACGTTCAGAGTTCGCTGTCCGGGTAGCTATCCCAGCAGCTATCCCGTCCAGCTTTCCGAGGCTCGATGCCGGCAAACGCCGACAGCGAGCCCAGCTGTGATCGTGCTCGCGACAGCAGAGGGCTCACTGTCGGCACGAGCGCTCGGCATCCCGTCGGAGATTCAAGCGACGCGATCAGCCACAACACTGCACCGACAATTCTCGTCAGAGTGAAGAAAGTAATATGCGACGGGATGATTGAATATTGAGCATTCAATATGTCTTAATTTGTGGTGTGGCCCATCTGTATGTACCGGTAGTGTTGTTCAGTCGGAAAATTCGGGTGCGGGAGGTTACATGTAACGGGCGCGCCCGCCACATGCTTACGTCAGCACATAGATACATCGTGTGAGCATGTAGTGTAGTCTTTCGCCTTTCCAACACCTGTATACGAGGCCCCTTTGTTCCTGTTCTTGTTCCGCCTGCTCCGCACGGCCGCAGCCACTACGGCCGCCCGAGTCGACCTTGCCCGTTACAGTAGGCAGTGCATCGAACCGTGACTGTCCTGGCTTACCGCATTGGGACGTGTCACGTGTGTGACATAGGTGTTCTGCGCGTAACAGCCTGTGACGGCACACATACAGTGCCGTACTGTACAGATACAGCCTCATATGTTACTTTAATATTTTTGCGGCACTCTGAACATTGTCCCATGATCTCTCTATGCCAAAACAACTGCACAGGTGATGAGCTTCACTACAAAACAGTGGGCAAGACTGCACTTGCCATATTTGACAGGCAGCAGTGCGGCTGGCGGCTATTTCCGTAGGGGCGTAGTTTTCCGATTTACCGACTTTCTGAGATTGCAGGGGTTAGGGCTAGCTTCCGAGTACTCGCCACTTGTTTTCGCGTCCCGACGGGATGCCGAGCGCTCGTGCCGACAGTGAGCCCTCTGCTGTCGCGAGCACGATCACAGCTGGGCTCGCTGTCGGCGTTTGCCGGCGTCGAGCCTCGGAAAGCTGGACGGGATAGCTGCCGGGATAGCTGCCCGGACAGCGAACTCTGAACGTCCCTATTGGGTAATGGCTGTATAGCAATATTGGCATAGCTACCTGGAATCAATAATTTTTGTTGGAAAGGTTATGGATTGTCTAGGACACTTAGGACTCAGGATTTGTGTTACCACATTGAGGATGATGAGCTGAGCCATATGAATGTAAACATCTCTGTTACTACTATGATACTCCCTGATGAATAAAATTTGGCTTGTGCAAGGTTAGTATTATTGTTAAAGCTTGACAACTGCTTGGTCTAGTCAAGCACAGAAGTTAGTCTCACAGACTAGTATGTATTGATACATAATACATATACATTGATAAATGAGATTGAAGTGATAATTTGATGAACCAGAAAACACAAGACACAGACAACACAACTGGGATCGTATTGCCATACATGGCCCACTCCCCAGCAAGTCCACCATCTGGTGCCTATCCTATGTATTACTGCTATTTATGACCCCAAAAACATCCCATTTGGCCATGTACACCAGCATATTAGGGGGTGGCCAAAGACCAGTCGCAACTGGTTGCAACCAGTCTTTTGACCAGTCCCTCCAATTTGCCCAACCCTGGAAGACTGCAACTGGACTGGGTAGGACCAGTCCTACTTTGACCAGTCCAGTCCAGTCTTTCTAAGGCCAGTCCCAGTTCAGTCCCAGTCTTTTTCCAGTCCATGGACTGGACTTTCAAACACTAACCATGGGAGGTCCCAAATCGCCATTGCTTTGTAGTCTGGGTTGAGGCTCTGGAGCTCTGCCTCTACCTCTGCTGGTGTCGCGATCTCCCCTGTCCTGTCATTATGTGTGTGCACTCCATTTAACTGTACCTTGTACCACTTCTCGTCTGCCCGTATCCGTGTCTCTCGGCCACCTACAAAGAAATCTACAAATCTCGGGGCGAAGGGAGCAAGCTCCCCTGCTGACTGGTCAGTGCACGTGAACATTATACAGTTGTTGTGGCTATTGAACTTGACATTCACCACCCTTAGGTGCTTGCTCTCATTGCTTGCGTGGAGCACCTCGTTAGCGTACTTTACAATCGTGACATCTCCCAGTCGCTCTTTCTCCAACGGTCCATCCTTCATCTCCACGATGAGACACATGTGGTGGTGAGCTGACAGTGGATTGAGGGACTGTCGAGGTGGGGCTCTTCGAGGTGGGACAATGGGCGGGGTCGTTGCCACCACTGTTCAGACCATTTGTTTGGTCTTTGCTGGCCCTGTCGTGGTCATCCTGATGGTGGTGGTGTTGTCCTCATTGTGGATGGTGCTGGGGTTGGAGGCCGGGTTCCTGGCCTCCATGGTGTCCATCCGAGTTGCTAGTCTGTTGATTATTCTCACTATGCTATCCAGTATCTTTGCTTCGGCGGTTGTTGTGGAGGGCAGGTTTTACTCCACTGGCCTAGTCTTCGGGGCTGCCTGTGGTTCAGTTAGTTTGGTAAGCCTCTTTGCAATGATTTCAGTGTGTTTAATGATGGTACTCGGGTACTCAGCGTGTATGGACACCTCTTCCAGTAATCCCACTGCGCAGCTCAGTGCTTCCTCAAGTAGGATCATCTTACACATGTTGTCTTTGCCTGCGTTCGCTGGGCTGAAGATGTCAGTGATATCCTCGTCCATCCTCTGTAGAAGCTAGACTTCGGTCAGACGCTCAGTCGCAGAACACTCGACTATATTGTGTACCTAGACTTCGGTCAGACGCTGTACACAATATCAGTCTCAATCACAGACAGTATCGTAAGCGGGAATCTTACCTCAGTCGCAGAACACTCGACTGAGGAAAGAGAAGAAGGGAGGGAGACGAAAGGACGAACCACCCCCGGCGGTACGTCACATGTCCGGTGGCTGAGGGATCGAGATTGCGCGACGCAACCTCAACACTCCTCCTCGGCGCGAAGAACGAGAGCCCGAGGGAAAAAGGGAACATATCGTACGGGATAAGAAAAAGAGAGGTATCGCAGAAAGATAGTGAGGTGTCGCTGTACCGTATATGGGTGTGATGTCATGTCGTATCGTAAGGTGTCGTGAACAAAAGAGAGTGAGAGAAAAAGACCGTAGAAAAAGACCGTGTGTATCGTAAGAGAGAAAAGAGAACTCCTCCTGTCGTGGGACGAACCCAGAAATGAGAGTACTCCTCCTCAACGAGAAGACTCCTCCTCGGATGCTGCACGCAGGCCCATGAGTCCGCGCAACAACAGGAACGGCTTCTTCTCCAGAGGCTTGGTGAAGGCGTCAGCAACGTTAAGATGAGTGGAGACGTGCTGAACGGCAATGCGCTTGGCCGCAACGACTTCGCGGAGGTAGTGCCACTTGATGTCGATGTGCTTGACCCGAGCGTGGAAGGTAGAGTCGGTGGACAACGTCATGGCGCTAGTACTGTCGACACGCATGAGGGAAGCGATGGGTTGTGTGAAGCCGAGACCGTCGAGGAGAAAACGTAGCCATACAGCTTCCTTAGCAGACTCGGCAGAAGCGATGTACTCAGCTTCCGTCGTCGAAGTGGAGACCGTTGGTTGCTTCCGTGCGCACCAAGACACAATGCCTGAGCCCAAGTTCCAGCAATAGCCAGAGACAGACCGCCTAGATTCGTAGCAGCCGGCGTGACTAGCATCCGCATAGCCATTGAGGTTCGCCACATCGGAGCCGCCCAGATGGAGCCGGAGAGAACGTGTGCCCTTGAGATACCAAACGACCCGCTTAGCGGCCTCCCAGTGGATCTCGCTGTAGCAGTCGAGGAACTGACTGAGATGCTGGATAGAGAGAGCGATGTCCGGGCGCGATCCGATGGCAAGATACATCAGGCAGCCTACGAGAGAACGATAGGGAAGACGAGCGGCGCGTTCCTTCTCCTGGGGTGTCTTCGGCGAGTGCAGAGTGCGAGACAGCTGGAGACCAGCTTCCATGGGTGTACTGACCGGCGCGCAGTCAGGGCCATCGAGACGGAACTGCTTAATGATTTTGTCGATCAGAGCAGTCTGGGAGATGGACACTGAACGTGTAGCGCGGTCGCGATCAATCTGGATGCCGACACAGAAACGGGCCTCACCGAGGTCGGCGATCTTCCACACTTTCCGTAGATCATCCTTGAATTCCTGGCTAGCCGCAGAGTTGCTCGCCGCGAGCAAGAAGTCGTCCACATGCACGCCAGTGAGCACGGTACCCCGCTCAGTCTTGCGGAAATACACGCAGTACTCGCATGGTAAACGAGTGAAACCGATGCTCACCAAGTGATCGTTCATCGTCTCGTTCCAAGTCCGGCTGCCCTGCTTGGTGCCGTAGATGCCCCGCACCAGTTCCCATACCCAGCCCTCTTTACCTGGCTCCTCAAACCCGGACGGCTGCTCCATGTAGCAGTACTCCTCCTCAGGCAGAATGCCATACAGGAAGGCCGTCTTGACGTCGAGTTGCTCAAGCTCCCAGTTCAGCGAAGCAGCCAGGTGCAGAATGACACGGAAGGACTCCATCCGCATAGTCGGAGAAGACGTCCGATTGTAGTCCTGTCCGAAAACCTGCTGGAACCCCTTGGCGACCCAGCGAGCCTTGAAACGCACGGGCTCACCCTTTTCGTTTCGCTTCAGACGGTACACCGGCTTGCCTTTCATGACACGACGACCAGTGGGCACCTGCGCGCGAGGAATGAGACGATAGACGCCAAGGTCTTTGATCGACTGCAGCTCATCGCACAGAGCCTCTCGCCACTCGTCACAAAAGGGAGAAGCCTCGGCCTCGGCGAAGGTGAGGGGGTCACCCGGGTATTCACAGTTGAGCGGGAGGGAGTCGTCCTTGGCCAGCGCCGCGAGCGCAGACTCAATGTCAGGATGGATGTCCGTGTGCAAGTCAGAGACCGCGAATTCGGGTGGGACAGCGGGTTCCACAGGAGGTAGAGCGTCGGCAGAGTGAGCTACAGCAGGCCCGGGGATGCCTGAGTCAGAAGGTGCACGAGGAACACTGGCCCAAATGTCCGCCAGCGTGCGATCAAGCCGTGACGTGAAAGGGATACCGTCAGCCTCAGCGCGACGCTGCGAAGGCACAGGAAGACGAGAGGAGCGACAAACGGCAGGAACGGGAGACGCTGCAACAGGCGCAACAGAGGCCGCAGCGCTCGGCTGGGGGAGCATAGAGATAGGTGGCTCGGGACCAGGCAAGGGCACGACGGGCACGGGGGAGGACGGACGAGGCGGAGCCACAGGATCGTCATCATCAAAGACGGGGGGAGCATCATCAGGAGGGGGAGGACCAATGACGGGCGGGGAGGTAGCGACGGGCGGTCGAGGTGTCTCAGAGGTCTCATGCGACTCGATGAATTGCACATGGAACGAGCTTACCACCTTATGTGTCGCCCGATGATAGAGCCGATACGTCTTCGAGGTAGCCCCGTACCCAATCAAGACACACTCAATAGAGCGTTCATAGATTTTGGGGTTGTGCCTGTTCTGAATGAGCACGAACGCGCGACAGCCAATTTCACGGAGGTGCGAAAGGTCAGGCTTCGCCCCATGCCACACCTCATAAGGTGTAATCCCTTTGGGCAATGAGCGCGAGGGCGTACGCACGGACAGATAGTTCGCGGTAACGAGGAACTCGTCCCATCTGTTGGCAGGGACGTTGGCAGCCACATCAGGGAAAACCGCCCAGACGCTTGGGCCCTCTGAAGAGCAACAGAGAGTGCTTTGAGAGCGCCAAAGTAGCCAAACCGCCTCAACCAATCTCAACACAAGTGCCTCGGTCTCAAGAGGAATTGTTTGACAAAAGCAGCTTTTTATTTTTATTTATTCCTTGAAGTGCGTTTTCAACCGCCATTTGTCAGGGCAGCCCAGCATTGGGTTTCCCACTCAAAAAGCAATAATAAACTGGTTTGCGAGTGATAAAACCAACGTCCAATTCCTACTCATTAAGAGGTTGAGACTGCTAATCAAGAGCTCTCAAAGTGTGCATATTGCGCCCATAGCATGGTTATAAATGGATCATGATGCACTTCAGTAGGCAATGCGAGCGAACAGTTCATTGCGGTATTGACGGTGCATACAGTAATACATGATCACAACACGTAGCTATACAGGGTATACCACCAGCTCGTGGATATGAGAGCGATGTTAGTAATGCAGCTGGTGTTTGAGCCCAGTAAAAGCTACAGAGAGGCGGAGAGGACAGCGCAGGCATGGGCACAGAATGACAGTCCGAATACGACGTACATGATGTAGAGAACCTCGACGAAGATGATCGTACACGAAACGGAGCGCAGCGAGACGTACTGCGTTTCAGTTCCACCACCTGACGGACGTAGACACCACCATGGCAAGACCTATTCAGTTTCAGGAATTATGCTCCATGTCAGACCGTCAGTTCACGCACCTGCACACTCCTCTACCGGTCGACGGGGCCTCTGCATCCTCTTCACGCTCGTCAGGCTGGCCTGAGCCGCTTGCCAGGCCGCCGCAGGCACGTCACTAGCCTTCGTGCCAGTGTTCTTCGGCGCCCACAGCTTGGAGATGCGCGAGATCGCGGCCGTAGGAATGCCACGGGTGACCGTAGGCTCAGCTGCCTCGTCGTCGTGTCTACGCTCGTGCTCGAGATCCCTGCAAGCCTCCTGATAGGCACCATGTTGTGTCAGCACAGCATCAGCAACAGGCTATGTGCTTACCGTATGGTGTTCACCAACGTCTCGTCCATTGACTTGCAGAACCGAGCACAGCCCTCATCGTACTTCGACGGGTCACTCGGGTCCGCACAGCGCCGCAGGTTGTCGATGCTGACCTTCAGACGATCGTGCCTACAAAGCACAGTTAGGCCGGCCTATAAACAAATAATGTTCCTTACTCGGTGGGTACGTCTTCTCGTCGAAGCTGACGGTGACGTTCACCTTGACGGCCTCGTCCAGCGCAACGATGATCTAATGCACAATGACTTGAATAGAGGCTTCAGTACCTAGGGTATCGTACTCACCGCAGAGCAGACCAGAGCTATCATGTTGCTCACAGGGGCTGCTTGTTGATGTCAACCGCGCGTGGTTCTCAGGCCGCATGGCCTCCCGATGAGCTCCAGACCACCACTGACGAGCTGCGACTTCAGCCACAGCCTCGTTGTGGAAGGGAGCGTCCAGGTTGGCCACCCACAGCTAATACATATCAGTAAGCGTACCTAGACATTGGCACGCACACGCACCGAGGGATCCACCATCGGATCTGGCATCTCCAAGTTGCCGTGATGGAACGCGAAGTCCTGCTTCAAGAACTTCACGAGAGCCTCGAGGTGACTCGCCGTCTTCTCGTTGTACGCAGCACTGCTGAGCTTCTTGCCGTCAGAGCCGTGTTGCGGCACCTTGAACGCGAGGAAGTTCTTCTCGACGACGCGCTTTGCCTTCTGCTTGACTTCCTGACGAAGTTGAGATGACACCTTCGCCACCTGACAATTTGCTCGATGCTCATGTCACCGCTGAGACATCATGAAGTGACGACTCACATAGTGGATCATCCTCCCGCGAGTCACTGTAGTATCCGCCCACCCCTGTTGTACGCGGTCAAGAACTTTTCGGTCTTGTACCTCTCGTGCTTCTCCATGAGCATCTTCATGATCTCCACGGGCTTCTCGGTCTTCTCCATACGACCGTCCTTCATGACTCGAGGCCACGCGTTCTCCAAGCTGAGGTACACGCGGAACTCCTGCTGGGCGTGGTGCAGGAAGCTCTTCAAAGGCTCCTGCGTCATCGTCTCGAGCACGTTGTTGTCGACGTCGATGACCTTCTTAGGCCGGCCGACCTTGCGCTTGCCCTTGCTCTGGCTTTCTCTTTCTTCTTCTGCTGAGGCTTGTCCTTGACCTTGACGACGATCTAGGCCAAACGTCAGTCAAACGCCGCCTTCCAAGCCACAGTCTCACCTCGTCATCCATGTCCACGTCGCCATCAAGCTCGTCAACGTCCTCCTCTCGGTCGTGACTTGACACCTTGTACTCGCTGCCATCGTCGTCAGAGTCGTCCGGGACGTGGATGGGGGACATCGACTCCATCTTGACGCGACGAGTACGCCTTGCTGCACCCTTTCCTGCTCTGGATGGCGAACCTGCTGTCACAGATGTCAGTCATCAGCGTGAGTTGTAAGACACACCAGTGGCTCACCGCCCTGTCCAGAACCTTCCTCGTCCTCGTCCTCGTCCTCGTCACCTCACCCGTCCTCGTCATCGTCCTCATTCTCCTCGTCACTGTCCTCCAGACGCAGGAAAGTCTTCTTCTCCGGAGGCTTCGCAACGCCCTGCGTCTGCTTGGCTGATTTGTACCTGAGGAGTCGAATAGTAAAATACGCGACTCTTTGAGCGACTTACCAAGGGATGCAGCCAGGTCCTCCTCCTGCCTGGGCGCCTTCGAGCGCGACACCGGGGGCGAGGACTGGATGACCACCTCCGGTATGACAACACGCTTGCGTCCAGGCGACACCTCTGCGAGGTATGCGTCAAAACAGGACCGTATGCTCCGAAGAACATGACGCTCACCAGACGTCTGACCTCCTCTTGCGCTCGTCGACGCGGCGTCGGCTGCCGATGCGTCCTGACCAGCTGGCTTACTTGCCAGCTGGGTCTTCGCCTTCTTCTTCTCGGGCTGCTCCACGCTCGCCTCGTCATCGCTCGCCTCCTTCTCGGGGGTCTCAGTCGCCTTCCTCTTGCGTGGGCGAGGCTTGGGCCTAGGCGGCGATGGATCTAACGCACAATGAGCTCGCCACTCACTAGTTGTGCGTTTACTCACCGTTCGCTTTCTTCTTGCCCTTGCTCGCCGATGTGACCAGCTCTCCTTCGTCATCCTCCACTCCTTCTCTGTATCCGACGCCTTTTCCTTGGCGACTAAGGCGTGTTGTCGTCCTTGATCTCTGTGGCACAATGCGCTAGTAGTATGCTGATACACAGTGTGAATCACGATACTACGTACTTTGTCGACGATCCTTCTCAGAGACTCCATCCTTCTCCGCGACGGTGTCGAGTTTGCGAACCATCTCGTCGAGCTTCTTGTTTGAGAGGTTTGGATACTTCCCTCTCAGCACTTCCTTCATGTCGGGGGCCGCCTTCACATCATCTTGTATGCTGCCCGATGGACCACGGGCGCTGGCTGCCGATTTGGCCTTACCGCGAGTCGACTTGACGGGGGGCTTTGCGCTCCCCCCACCAACCTTCGCCTTCGCTGCTGCTGCGGCTTTCGACCTAGTATCGCGCGGCGACATAGTGAGAGACGTGACAACGAAGAGTCGGCGGCCGCACCGATAAGTGAACCTTGAGACTCCGAGTCCGCCGCAAGCGCACAGAAGCGCACATGGTATCGAACTCCGGCATTTCTCACCCTATCAACGGTTGATCGCGGGTGTCAGAAACTCATTTAGGGTGGAACGCATATGGATTAAGCAGAATACAACTCGTAGTACTACATGAAATGTGCATTACCTTCCCAGCCATTTCGCCCTCCGTCAGTCCACTTCTCAATCTCCTTGTCCGTGTGCAGAACAATTGACGCGCGACGACCAGTGAAATGTAAGTTATAGTGAGTCAAACGATACGAAGGAAAAGCAGTGAAATCGCCGTTACGGAGCGGAAGAACCAAGCCGGCCTCGTAGAGGCATAGGTCCCCGCCTTCAAAGTCGCCGACGGCGAGGACAACGCAGAGGGACTTGTCCTTACGATCCCTGTGGGCCATGGTTGCGACATTCAAGTTGATGACGAGGGAGAGGAACGGATGCACAATTGAGTGCGCATTCCCAGGCAATACCTGAGCATCCATACTCAGCACGCGGTACTCGTCTGGCAGCGTGGTTTGAACCTGTTTGTTGGGGGGAAAACATGATTGACTGCTTGGGTGACGGTTAATGACATACTTACCTGCTCTGCAACCCACGTGAACACGTTGTCGAACACCACTTGCAGATTGTGGTACGTGTCTGCGTGTTCGAGCATGTCCTTGGATGTGTATGGGAGCATTTGGCTATAGTTGGTGCGCAAGTCTTTCTTTCCCAGGAGCATCGGGTGCACATCCTGCGGTACGTCATCACCCTGAAATATCAATACTGCGTGAAAATTGGATATCACTGCAGAGACCGAAAGACTAACTCGTGTAGCATGCCTATTATACCAGGAGAAATGGACGGCTTGGAATTGGAATTCGGTGCCAGCCGCAGCAGAGTCAGTCTCCTGAAGATTCCACGACTCGGCATGGAAGCAGGAAATAAGGTCAATGCTCAGCATACGACGCAGATGGGAGGGCATGTTGGTGAAGATGCACGCGACGAGGGACTCGTGAGAGTCCAAGATCTTGAGCGGTTCACTACACATAGTGAGAATGGCTTCGTACGCTGAATGCTACTCATACCTGAGTATGCGCGGATTGACGGCAATATATTGGTGGTTGTTCAGTCTTTGACCATTCTCATAATTTGATATAAGCTGTCATCGTTTAGTACGACGCGCTAAGATATTATAATGCACATAGCACTCACCTCATACTCGAGTTCCTCCAAGGACGACGGTGTCAAGGCGTTCTGGGCGAGGGACCGCTGCTTCTCGGTCCATAGATACGCTTCTGTTCGCTCAGTTGGAACGGGGTAGCGTCGATGTGCTTCCAGCGCGATATCCAGCCCAGGTATCGTCAGGATGGCACACGGAGATCTGCCCTGACCTCCAGATACTGTGTCGTCTCCCGCTATGTCCTCTTCTCGATCCTCTTCAAAATCGTTCTCGTCGGCCTCGCCTTCGTCGTCCACCGTCATAGGCGAGGGTGGATCGAAATCATCCAGACGTTCTCGTCGTAAGAGGCTTTGGCTGGCCGTCGTAAGTCGAATCTCCTCACTGCGAGCAGGATCCAACGGCATGTAGCACTTTGCCCAGACTTCTTTGTTCCTGTCCACTGCAACAAACCCACTGGTCCCGTCAGTTCAAGTTGAGGTCCGCCGGAGCTCCCAGATGGAAACGAGTCGTTACACACTTTAGTTTTAGTGACGAGAACATCCTATCTGATTGTTCCAAATCAGTGCAGAGCAGTGAATCCGACGGCAGCTGAAGCTTTGTCAATAGATTCGACGAGAACACTGTGTCGAACCGTAGAGGTATACGCTGACGAAGGGATTCCACAGCGGGTATGATGCGCTCGATTATGATTTGACCCATAGCAGTAGCTGGAGGTCGGAGAATGCATGAGCCTAGTCATGTAGAGCGCCAATAGGGAGAACTTACAGGGATCAGGTCTGCATAGCACGTTTCCGAGCTGGTACGCGAAGTTGCCCACTGATTTGGCGATCTTCGTGCGCAGATCGCGCAGGGCTACCAGCACGAGGGCGTAGATAGTACCTAACGACAACGTATATCAGCTGCATGATACGGCAATTTTAAGTGTCCAAGTTTACTTGCCTCCGGCAGCCAACGCTGCGAACTTGCTGCCCACAGCTACCCAATTGAGGAACGTTCGCTGTGGAACATTGCAGTGGTACGGCTCTACGTATTTGGAATGAATGTCGACGATAGTCAAGTCTTCTGCGTTCTGAATGCTAAATCCGCATCAGCAACACATTCACAGATGAGAAACAGCATGCCTACCTCGTGCACTTGCAGACGAGCTGGATGTAGTGTGTCATGTAGAGAAAGCTGACGGAAGCATCGACAATCTTGATTCGACGGCATCTGCGTAAGATAGAGACGATGGAGTCGTCTTGGAATCCGCCATTGACGTTGCCGTCGCCAGACAGCAGCAACTCGCGTATGTCTTCTAGTTGAAATGCGTCGGTGTTGTCGGATGCCGCCAGGCGCGAGATAACTGAATTCATATCGGGAGTGGCCTTGGAGCTGAGAGTATGGAGCTTCTTCCATTGGCGTTTGCTTGCTCCGCGAGGGCATGGTGGCCACCTACCCACTGGCACTGGTTGATGGGATCCACCTGCAGCGACGTCCGACGGATCCTTGAGATTTATCTTCTGAGACGCTCTCCGGGTTACAGACTTCTTGTCTCTGCCCCTGGACTGCTTGCTCTTATGCCAGATCGCACGCTTCCTTGTCTGCCGAGACTTTATTCCCAGTAGAGCCTTTGGGAGTGCGGTTTCTGAGACAATATGAGTATATACACGCTGTCAAAGTTTGCTCGGTAACGTACCTTCGACAACCTCCCCTTCCAGCCTAATGCTCTCCTCAATATTATCCTCATCCGACTCAAAGTCATGGCCTTGTTCCTGCTCGTTGACTGCGGAGATTTGTAGAGCTTGAGCATCGGTACCGTAGGCTGTGATATGCTGGCCGATAAAGCTTACCTCGCATGTCCGGATCTAAGGTGGCAATGTCAGGCATGTCCTCTTCTGCTGCGGCAGCGAGAGCCCTCGTAGCGTCGGAGGTCGCATCAGTTAGCTTGGTAATGACAGACTGGAGTGGAGGTAGAGGTAGAGACTCGAAGTCCGTGGATTGGGCGAGGTGATCATGAAGCGCATTGATTTCGTCTGGAGTCAGCCAAACCCAGCTTCCAGACCACTTGTGCATGGTCAGAGACATACAACGACGTGAGAAAGCAAGTCAGCAAGCGCCAAAAATCGGTCAATTCGATGGTCGACCAGACTGGTAGGAATATTGCTAAATCGATGTGAGTGTCGTAACGTCAGAGCCGTGTACATGTACGCTTTCCAAAGTCCTTCTGAGTACTACTAGTCGTCTTCCTCTGCTCTGAGATCCCACCAATTGAGGGCGGTGTCGCGCGAAGGAACTGGATAATCATGGTCCGGCCGTTGAGGCCGTGTCTGCCATCGCTGGCGCACTCGGCTCTCCACCCGAGATGCTGCGAGAACCTGCCCTTGAGCCTTGACACGGTGACTGAACTGGTCAGCCATGAACAAGAAGTCCTTGTCGGACAACGGTGGCCCAGACAGGATCTTGACGCTCTGCAGGTCCTCCCAGACGCTGTCAAAGCGACCTCGTGCATCCACCCAGTCCTGGTAAATCTGGGCAGGGGTGGCGGGGACGGTGGTGGCGGGGACAGTGGTGGCTGGGACAGTGGTGGCGGGACAGCAGCGGGGTCAGAGGCGGGGTCAGAGGCGGGGTCAGAGGCGGTGTCGCGCAGGGATCGCCATGCGTACGAGTCCTCGAAATCGTTGTAGTCGGGCTCTCGAACGCGACGCAGAACTTCGCGTACGCTGGGAGGCTGCTCGTTCGGCGGAGATCCGCTGTTAGACTCCGTTGAGGAAGCTTCTAAGATCCTGTACATTAAGAAGAGAATAGATAGTAGCTCTTGTCTTGCGAGCTCTGCCATTACGATCCCTGAGGTACGAAGGTATCGTTCTTGTGATGGACCACCATGAAATGCCTTAGCGATTCCTCCAGAATGGCAGTTTGTTCCCACAGTGCACGTGACAGTCAGCCACCCAGATAAGTAGAGATAAGTAACTGTTAGTATGAGTTACTTATCTGACTCTGAAATTTCAGACTCCCAGACGACGCGACTTGCACCAACAGATACAAACAAATGCAGTGGTTAAGCGCTCTGTTATGGATATGAGGGCCATGAAACGCCTTAGCAGTTCCCCTAATAAGGAAACTGTTAAATCTGTCATGTGACTGTCTGCCTGGCAGCTCACTGCAAACGCTCACATATTGTAGACCACTAGTAGACCCAGCTAGTAACATCTAATTAGTACACATAGTATGCTCATCTGATAACCCTTCATTCAGAGAGTATATGGGGATTTTACGGAGTGCATACAGTGGCTGGCTAGGCCAGGAAATGCAAAACAAAAAAATGCACATGTGCCTGTGCAGATTCAAAGTACTTGGTTATGGCCAAAATATGGTATATCTGTCAACTGTAATACATATATGTGTGGTTGAGATGCTAATAAGGATTATAACAGGCAGTCTGAGCACCTTTTGCCATAATATGGCCATTGTATACAATGTAATGGCAATCATTTGCAGCATCAAGCAAAGGTAGACTTGTCTTTGATGCGTCTATATATTTCATGGCTTTCCTGCATTTGTTCTGAGCCCCATATCAACTGATTTGTGCATGATTCCTATTTGGGAATGTCACATCCTCCATATGGTAATCATGCAGTGACTGGCTTTGTTTTTCATCTTGAGTGGCTGCTTACACTTGACTGAAGCTCCATGCTCCAGATGTAACACTGTTGCTAATATCCACACTTGATATTGAATGGACCAGAAGGATTTGACTATGCTTTCTTGAGTTGCACAGGTTGCTAAATGAATCATGAACTGTAAATTCTTCATTGGACATAGTGTATGGTATCTGTGTGGATTACATATAAAGGTGTAGATGCACAAAATGCTTTTGTCAATGGATCATCAGCAGCAGAATTCATTGATGACAATGGATACTATGGTTTTGACACATACGTCAAGTCATAGAATTGAGTCATTCACCGTGATATCTTCCATATTGTACATGTAGATTCACCATGTACAATGAAGCTCTACTACAATATGCCATACTAGTTGCAAGGTATGAAGTTATAGAAATGAGCCATGTTGGTGAACAAATAACCCATACATCACTTTCTGTATAACTCACAGGGTAATTGACTTCAGTGATACTCTGGGCAACCCTACATTAGTTCATGGTCATAAAACACTTATGAGCCTGCACAACATGTAGAATACATCAAATCTGTAGTGTCTTGCCATGGAAAGCACTCATTGTATGGCTTAGATAGACAGACAATTATATGGGTATACAGTATTGAGTATTCTATGACTGATTTCATCACAGTATTTTCTATTACATTGGTTGTATAAAGTGACATAAGTGGGGCACTCACAGACACATGGATATGTGTGTCCTTTGCATTCAGTACAATGTAGTCAAGTTATCAGATTGTCAACCCATTCCCACCTACAAAGTGTTTGTGAGGGTTCATGAACAACTTAGAAGCATGCACAACACATTGTAATATGGAGCAAGTGTCCAATACCTGATTCAATCTGTTACATCCCATCCTGTTGTTATTATGTTACCATGTTAGTGACACTGTATTGTCATGTGAGTGACATGTGAGTGACATGTGAGTGACATGTGAGTGACATGTGAGTGACATGGTGTTATCATGACTGTCACACTGTGTTATGACTTATGTCACACTGTTTGTATTGGAATTGACTCAGACTCAATCCCATATGCATGCCAGTGGATGCCATTGAGCTCATCCTTGTGCCCTCTTTGGGATCAAGTTATGATTATTTACAATGTCTTGCATACTACAGTACTTCTTTTTTCATATACTAATTGAGATTGACCTGATGTTCTATAGCTGTTGCCAATACAGATGTGGGGAGGAAAGTACATGCTCAGATAATTGCTTGGCCATTTTATGCCAGTGTGGCATCCATTTTTGTGAGGTTATTCATTGTTCATAAAGCACATATTAGCCTGCACAAAATGTAAAATCTACCAAGTGTATTGCAATGATTATAGTAGAATGTCATTGCTAGCATCACATCTGTTATTTATTCAATCACACTTTGTTATCACTGCTGTCACACAGTGTTATCACTTCTATCACACACAGGGTTATCATGTCTGTGACATGGTGTTATCATGTTTGCTACAATCCAACCATGTTGTCTATCCATTGTAGACAGGGCAATGTACAATGAGGAAGTTCTACCTTAGGCAGAGTCTCATACTGAATGAATAACCCATACATGACTTTCTGTATAGCTCAGAGCTCTACTAACACTACCAATCTATTATCTAAAATGGCACCTTCTTCCCAGCCCTCTTCACTTTGCACAGGGTGTGCTCTACCATGACAGGATCAAACACAATCTTGGACTTCACATCAGCAGACAGCTTGGCCTCAAGATGATCATGTGCAAGCTTAAAAGCCTTGCACACTTCATCTTGAGTAGCTGACTTGCCGCTGATCAGTCCAAGACATGCAAGACCGGCAAACGCACCAGCCTTCAAGTTCCAAACCACCTCACCCATCTCCTCCACCGTCGGCATCTTCACCTTCCCAGCATATGCAAAGTCAGCAGCCAGGAGAGTGGAAGTCAGAGGTCCAGAGGATGGAAGGCGCTTGCGCTGGATAGCTCCAGTGCGACACTCTGCAAGGAACTCCCGTCGCGCATCCATGAACGCAACCGGGTGCGCACGAAAGAACTCACGGAAGTGAGGCTCAGCTGCAAAATAAGCCTCCGCATGCTGAGGACCGCGCTGGGGTTGGTGTGTCCCATAGCATGACTTGTCACAGAGGTAGTCCTCCGGGTGAACAGCGACAAGTTTCTTGAAGTCCTTGAGAGAAGGGAAGAAGTTGGGAGAGAGGTAGGAGGCCTTGGCTCCAAAGGTGATGCAGCGGTGGAGGATACCGCTGGCAATGGCGCCAACCTTGCCTATGTTGTCAGGATGGAAGGGGCCAGAGGGAGATGTTACTGCGCGACGGCCCCTAGCGAGCTCCCGGAAAGGCAAGCGCTTGTCATCGTTCTGCGCACACCAGCGCTGAAGAACAGACGACGACTTGGTCAACTTCGCACCTTCGAGGAGATGGGGGAGGACGCCATAGCAGTCCATGATGAAGCCCAAGAGTGCATCAAGACCGTGAGCATCAGAGTTGGTGAGCTGCAGGGGAATGGTAGGCGCAGGGGGAGCAGAGGAAGATGGAGTGGAGGGAGCTGGGATGACGCCGGCACGAAGTCTGAGGAACTCAGCAAACGCCTGCGCATCGGGCGACGTTGGCTGAGAGAGAACTGGGAGCTGGCAGAGATCATAGTAGAACACGTCCAGACGGTTGGAGGAGACAAGACGATGGCGCTCATGAGGAAGGAGAAGAGATGCCTCCGCGCGCAGGTAGATGTCCCAGACGCCATCCAGAAGGAGGACATCAGAGGTGCGGAAGGCAGAGATGATAGCGCGGATGAAGAGAGAGTGGAGGTAGGAAGCGGTCTTGTGGGGAAGTCGAGCCACGTGCGCAGGGTTGCATGGATGAAAGTGATAGACGCACCACGACGCAGATCAGGCGACTGGTACCGTGTCTGTGGGATGGTGGCAGAACACGGTGGGAGACTGGGGAGGAAGTCCTCGCGCTGGAGCTTCACAGAGTTGTAAGACTGGAAGCCCTTGTCCACAGCGCGTGCAAGACGTGCAAGCCAGTCATCAGCGTCAGAGTCACCTTCAAGGACTTTGGTGCAGTAGTTGACTGCAACACGGTCCAGCCACAGCCATGCATAGTAGTTCATGAGCATGACTTCAGACCGCAGAATGGCGCGCTTAAGGTGCTGGACCCAATCAGCGCGCTCAAACTGGGTCTGAGCAGACCAGTTCTAGATCAATGCAAAGTCAGACACGCTCTGAATGCATCAGAAAATTGAAGGACTTACACTTTGCAACAAAACTGCAAACTCAACAGAGCGTGCAGTGGCAGAGTCCTCACCCTCCATCGCGTCAAAGAGCCGGTCAAGCATCTTGCGCGGTACAGAGGCTAAGTCTGGCTGCTGCACGTTCAGAACACGTGCAACATTGCCTAGACTCTTGTTCATGGCATGGAACTTCCCCTCAGTGAAGAGAGAAAGAACCGCCGCATACGCTAAGTCCAAGGTGAGTGATTGAAACAAATGACACAAAATTGAGACTCACGGTTTGCACTTGTACTTCCAGAGGGACCCGCTGCATCAGACTCAGCATCACTCTCATCAACTTTGAAAAAGAACATATCTGAGTGAGAAATTCACGTATAAAATGCAAAGTCAATGGCGTACCTTCATCATCCACACCCTGCAATGACGCTGCAGGTGGACCCATAAGGTCATCCAGAGCTACAGAGGGCTGAGCTTGATCATCCTCTCCATCAGAAACATGGCGAGCTATGAAAGAAAGCATGAAATTGGAACTACTACAGCGCAACTGACTTCTTACTGGCACGCCGAGGTCGCAAAGTCCTACCACCTCCACGCTGAGCTGGCTCAGCAGACCCACTAGCCTGACCAGCTGCAGGTCCTGCTAAGGCCATCACACGTGCTGAACGACGTGGACGGCCTATGACTTGAAGAGCTATAAGGCAAACTGTCAGTAAAGCCAAAAAAGCGCAAAAAAGGCGCAAAAAAACGCAAAAAAGCGCAACAAGTGCTGCAAAGCTAACAAAAAAGCGAAAAAAAGCGCACCATCTTCGTTTCCTAAGTCCAGATGCACTGTGAGAGCCATGAGATTGTGCTCAAACTGTACAACTATGAGACTACTCACCTCGCTGTGCAGGTCTGCTATCAGCATCTGCACCATCCTCCTCATCGCGCGCACGCTTCTTGCCCTTGGTCTTCTTCGGCTTAGCGCTGCCCTTGGCTTGCGCAGTCTTCTGTCCACTCTTGGAGGACTTCTCTGCAATCACCAAGTGAGCAAGACAACACAAGAGAACGTACAAGACTTACTGTGTGCTTTGGAACCTGAAAACCAAGTCAGAACACAAGTCCAGAAATGCTTAAGTGCAGCACTTACGTCCAGGACGTGTCACTGGCGCTGGGTCTGGAATCTCCAATTCATGGCGGAGGGCGACAATGTGCTTGTCATACGTCGCACGTGGAATGACAGCCGCATAGTGCAGCTTGTGCTCCTTCCACTCCCTCCAAACCTGAGCACGCTCATCAATGGATGGATGAACGTACTCAGGTTCGTCAGGCCGATGTTCAAGGACAGGAACAAGTTCCGTGTCAGAGAACGTGATGGGCTGGCCCTCCTCATCAACCGCAGAGAACGCTTTGAAGAACGTGTCTGGGTCAAGAGATGGGCCCACATCGGCCTGACGCCACAAAGAGAAGACAACATTGTACAACTGGCGCACCAAAAAAGACGCAACGGTACGTCTGTCCCCAATGTTGAGACCATCAACAGCGTAGTTGAGCTTGTTGGTATCCGTCTTGAAGTCCCGGTCATACCTGAAAATGCATCAGTATGCTGAAAAACAACAAGTCCAGGACTTACATAGGATTGTACATCTCCGGTGGGACCTTCAGCACGTCCCGCGCAAGCGCACCAAGCGCAAGCATGGACTGACCATCCATGACCCGGCTCATGGGGTACATGATATGGTTAAGACGCAGTGCGTCCTCTGCAATCTCGACAGAGGGGTCCGTGACATACGGACTCATCCCCATGTGCCAATGAAGGCCAGAGAACAAGACGGTGAGTAGGCTAGACCTCTCCGTCTCGTCCTCTGCGAAACCGTCAGGGAGTCTCACATACGTGTAAGACTCTGGAAACAGGAAGAGCCCGGGGTGGATGCCCGCGTGCAACTTCGAGAAGACAGTCATGACAGACATCGCACCTATGGAATCATGCTGATCCTGGTGCAGCCCACCAAAAAAGCCCAGAGACTCTGACAAGTTCATGGGCCCTGCATAACACGTGTCAGAAGTGAACACAAATAAAGAAAAAGACTTACCTTTCTGCAGCTCTGTCAGGTAATCAGGCGTGGAGATGTTGAGCTGGCTCCCACCAAAGCATACATTGTCCACACTCCCCGGGCGGAAGTACCCGAGGAGCTTGGCCTGCAGCTCCATGCGGTGGTGAAGCTCAGGCTGGACGGTGCGGATGACATGAACTCCAAGTTCACCGCCCACCTGCAAAATGATAAGTCAAAAAATGTGAGATGCAACAACTCTTACCTTTGCAAGCTCCCTACGTATCTTCGCATCCTCACCATCGCCACCCACAAAGGACTTAGCCTCTACGTTGGGGGACAGGACACCATTCTGGGCCTGCTGGGACTGGGTGATAGCGTAGATACGCTTACGGTCAGCGGTACCTTTCAGGCCCTTGTCGAGCACAAGACGCTCGAACTCCGTGCCTTTCACCCAGCCCCCGTCCTCCTTGACGGGCGCCTCACGGGAACACTGGTCAACGGGACCAATGATCTCGCTACGGAGGCTGAGGTAGCGCTCCTGCAGCTCCAAGGGCATGTCCCTACGCAGCAGTGAGCATGAAAAGCAATATGGAAACAGAAATACTTACCTCTGGGCAAAGATCTGTTGGCGCAGGACATCATCTTCCCAGCCCGGGCCGGCCGGCGACGCAACGTAGACGGGCCGTGCGAACAGCGAGTCACGTGGGCACAGAACGTGCCACCCTAGCAATACATAAGCTCTCATTCATGAGATGGATTGCATGCTTACCTTTGTCCCGCGCGTCGTCCTCCGAGACATGCGGGAGATCCCAATCCGACGGCTTCCTCGCGGTCGTCGCAGCGGCAGCACGCTCGCTGTTATCGACGAACGTGAGGTAGCACGTTGCGTTCGCGTCTCCCTTGTATGGGTTACGCGGGTGCTCGTTCACCTTGAAGAGGGGAGGAGCGGACTCGGGGCGGTTAGCCACTGGGACCCACTCCCCAGGCGCATTCAAGATTGTGCTTGCAGGGATCCCGAAGGGATATGCAGCAGAAGTGCTAGATATGGTTAGTACTGCATCCCAGAATGAAGAATGGATCACTTACTATATCCAATTGCCTTGAGAACACTCCAGTTCTCCAGGGAAACCTTCGGGGAGGACAGGTTGGTCTTCCTGAGGCTACAGTGCCAAAAAAAGCGCTATCAGAGGCTGTTCACTGCAGAAAAAGAACAGGGATGGCATATCTAAGCACTCACCATGACAGATGTTCGAAAATTCGGGCTGGATGGCAAGAATATGGGGGTGCAGAGGCTGGAGAGTCGAGGAGATGGAGGTCGTTCGAGCGAAAACCGCAGAGTCCTGTGTTTGGCGCCCGCGTGCCGTTCGGAGGTGCAACCGTCCGGAAATTCCGCACGGTTGCACCTCCGAACGGCACGAGGGGCTTGCCGACCCGCCAAATTGACGGGATTTGAAGTCGGATTGAGACTCCGTGCGATGCCGAGACGCGCGCTCGAGCGGAGTCCAGAATTGTGGCTGAGGGCGCTTGAGCGATCCTCCTCGCTCGAGCAGTGTCCCTCAGCTTCGTCGCGTCCAACGACGCGCGTCGAACGTCCCGCGACGAGACGGGAAGGAGTAGGAGGGGTCAAGGGAACAATAAGGTGAGTAATGTAGAGTTTCTGAGTCATAGGAAATGCTTACCTTCGAGTGAAGACCTCGACTTCTGTCGTGAAGTTCACGCCCTCGCACGGCCGGCCCCTACTCCCCCATGCCCCGCTGGCGGTCAGGAGCGGTTGCGGTCGATTCTCCCAGCTCCGGAGAATCGAACACACCCGCTTTTGTCCACACGCCCACACTCACAGCCTTGCAGCTCGCCATCAAAGTCGGCGCGCCTCTCATCGACCACCCCTGCTCTCCCACCTCCACCGCTTCGTCCCGCGCCCGCCGCCCGTGCGCAAGTGACGCAGGCGACTCTCCCAGCATGGGAGAGTCGAGCGTCGCCGGTTCCGCGACAAACGAAGGCCCTCAGAAGGCCCTGGGTCGCGATCTGCACACCCAGGGCCCTACCTACCACCTCCACTTCCGCAAGCTCGTCCTGCGCCCGTTCGCGCTGCCGAACGGTTGCGTCGGGCTCTCCCATGCTGGGAGAGCCCAGCGCGACCGTTTCCCATGAAACGGGCGCGGGTTCGAGCTGTCTGGGTGGACTTCTGTCCACCCTGTGCCCAGCCCTACCCACTGCACCTCGCCCCGCCCGTCCCGCGCCCATTTGCGGTGCGGAACGGTTGCGTCGGGCTCTCCCATGCTGGGAGAGCCCAGCGCGACCGTTTCCCATGAAACGGGCGCGGGTTTGAGCTGTCTGGGTGGACTTCTGTCCACCCAGTGCCCGGCCTACCTACCGGACCTCGACCCGCCCGTTTGCGGTGCGGAACGGTTGCGTCGGGCTCTCCCATGCTGGGAGAGCCCAGCGCGACCGTTTCCCGTGAAACGGTCGCGGGTCCGAGCTCGCTGGGTGGACTTCTGTCCACCCAGCGCCCAGCCCTACCCACTGCACCTCGCCCCGCCCGTCCCGCGCCCATTTGCGGTGCGGAACGGTTGCGTCGGGCCTCCCATGCTGGGAGAGCCCAGCGCGACCGTTTCCCGTGAAACGGTCGCGGGTCTGAGCTCGCTGGGTGGACTTCTGTCCACCCAGCGCCCAGCCCCACCTACTCGACCTCGCCCGCCCGTCCCGCGCCCATTTGCGGTGCGGAACAGTTGCGTCGGGCTCTCCCATGCTGGGAGAGCCCAGCGCGACCGTTTCCCGTGAAACGGTCGCGGGTCTGAGCTCGCTGGGTGGACTTCTGTCCACCCAGCGCCCAGCCCCACCTACTCGACCTCGCGCCGCCCGTCCCGTGCCCGTTTGCGGTGCGGAACGGTTGCATCGGGCTCTCCCATGCTGGGAGAGCCCAGCACGACCATTTCCCGCGAAACAGCCGCGGGTTTGGTTGCTCTCAGTGGACTTCTGTCCACCCAGGGCCCAGCCCACCTCCTCAACCTCAACCCGCCCGTCCCGCGCCCGTTTGTGGTGTGGAACGGTTGTGTAGGGCTCTCCCATGCTGGGAGAGCCCAGCGCGACTGTTTCCGCCAAAGTGGTCGCGGGTTCCAGGCGTATGGGTGGTCATCCGTCCACCCAGGCCCCAGCCCACCTCCTGACCTCGACCCGCCCGTCCCGCGTGTGTTTGCGGTGCGGAACGGTTATGTCTGAATCAATCAAATTTTCATTTATCAAATTTTCATATTGGTCTTGTGCTGGCCTCAATTGTACTAATCAAAAATGACTGTAGTGGACTAAAAGTAAGTATTGAGTAATTCATTGTAGACTTGCTTATGAATATACTGTACAGTATGCTTGACTGTATATGTCTATATTGTCTGACATCTCCGCATAGTGCAACTTATCATGTATCCTTATCAGCTAGCTACATGATGAGTCATAGTAAAGAGCACGTGTCACATGTGCCCTGATGCCAAGCCTCTTTTCTTGTCACATATAGTGGGCATTGGCGATTGCAATTCCTCATTCCCAACCCCCATGTTTGTCTTATTCCTCTCCATCTTTATTCTGGAATGCTGGCCCTTGCAACAGTCCCAGCCTAGACAGACTATTTGCATGTTGCCATGGGCATGCAGGTAGCCTTGCTAGGCTGGTTGACACAATGTATGTATGTATTTGAGTATAATACATTGACCTACTCTGATATAGGTTGCTGTTGTATTGGGCTCTGGGGGCTTTACTTTGATTCTGGGGGCTTTCCAGTGACTACGGTTGCTACAAACAAGCATATGCCATTTGGGTGTTTGGGAGCCTCCTCGCTGATATTGGTTGGCGTGCGCTGTCACTTGTTTACAGTGTTGTTGGGTTCTGGGGGCATCATTGTGACTCTGTCATAACAAACAAGCATATGTCATTTGGGCATAAGAGGGCCTCCGCACTGACACTTGGTTGGTGTGCGCCATCTCTTGTTTGTATGGGTACTTTGGATCTGACGGTCATGCTACACACATGTCCATATTGTAGATGCATAAGATCTGGTACGTTCTCAATCTGTATGCAATACTGCACTGATATTTGTTTCCAGTACAGGGCCAATGTTGAACCTGGGTGACGTGGCATATTGCAGGCAGTAAACATGTGGTATGGGTGAGTGGTACATTCCATATATGTAGTATGTCATACTAATGGTTGTCAGCTTCTGCATCTGTGTGTAGTATGGCACAACACTGGATCATTCACTCAAGGTACGTATATCATATAGTCTCATGATATGAATTGAACTTACGGAACACATAGACAGAACTACATAGTCATTCTTTGTTT